CCGTTCTGTGATTCTGTGATTATTATCCAGTGACTGTGGATGCTACGGGAGGATGAGGATAATGGATGGCAGACAGAGGTCAGGCTTATGTGCATTCCCTGAGTAACATTTCCTGCTGCCCCTGTTGGTGAGTGCATATTGGGTTAGGCGGACTGCTGGCCTGACCAAGTAGGGCATATCTTACATTCTTTCTTCGGGGGTGCAAGTCATCACAATTCAGTTGTGGTCTTACACTATTTAGGCAGATTTAGTCCAGGAGAAAAGGTGATACCATGCAAATTTCAACTTCCATTAAACCAGGAAACAGTATTTCACCTCCTGTGACTGAAAACAATCAAAAAGCCTGATAGTATTAGCAGACTGCAAACCTATAATGCAGAAGGCAAATAAAAAGAAATCCAGATGCATTATTTTTCTAACTATGACTTCTAAGCCAGTCTTGTAACTGCAGGGATGACTTAACGACTCTGCAATAACATGCAGGGCTAGCTCTTGTATTTATCTTATTTAAAATGTTTTCTCTCACTTGACTTTGTCAGGCAAAGTTGCTGAAAGGATGAAAAAAGATGCTGTTTGGGACTGGATTGTCCCTTATTTTGTATTCAACAGTGTCTATGCAAACCACTTAATTTCAGCTAACAGGCATCTAGACTAAGCTAATTGTCAGGTCCCTTCTCTAGTCAGTGTAGTAGAAAAATCACAGAATCACAGAGTGGGTGAGGTTGGAAGGGACCTCTGGAGATCACCTTGTCCAACCCCCTTGCCCAAGCAGGGCCACCTAGAGCCAGTTGCTCAGAATCACATCTAGACAGCTTCTGAATATCTACATGATGGAGACTCCACAACCTCTGCACAACCTGTGCCAGTGCTCAGTCACCCTCGCAGTAGAAATGTTTTCTGATATTCAGAGGGAATCTCCTGCCTTTCAGCCTTTGTCGCAAGGGCACATTGCTGGTTCACGTTCAACTTCGTGCCCACCAGGACCCCCAGGTCTTTTTTTGCAAAGCTGATTTCCAGCTGGGTGGCACCCAGCATGTACTGGTGCATGGGATTTTTTTCTCCTCAGATGCAGGACTTCTCCATGTTGAACTTCATGAGGTTCCTGTCAGCCCATTTCTGCAGCCTGTTGAGGTTCATTAGGATGACAGCATGATCCTCTGGTGTACCAGCCACTCCTCCCAGTTTTGTGTCACCAGCAAACTTGCTGAAGGTGTACTCTCCCCACCATCCAGACCATTATTAAAGTTGTTGAACAGGATCGGGCCCAGTAGTGAAACCTGCTCATCACTGGCCTCCAAGTCCGGTATCAGCTTTCACCACATACCACAGGACGGCCTGAACTGCAGTCCCCATTCCTTTCCACTGGCAATAAAGGAAGCTCAGAATTCTAGCTTAGGCTAGGTACCTAACTTCTGGATGACTAGAATTTCTGCTGCAAAACTGACCACCTTCACCTAACAGTGACCTGGCAGGTCTGCGAGAGCACTTGCAATACCTGAATTGTTTGCCTCCATCAGTGCTTTACTGAAGCCAGCGCTCTGTGTGCTTCCATAGGTACTCTTCATTTTTTCCACGTCTAGTTTAATTGGCAACAGTTCATCCAATACATTAGTCGTGACGTCCTTGGCACTTTTTACCATGTCCTTTGCACTGGTGATGATGCTGTCAATGTCATCTGAAACACACACAAATGCACGTGCAGCTTCTTACAGTAATAGATGAAAGAGGCAAACCAGAAGTGACCAGTAGCTGACCTCTGTTTATCCCGTTGAGATTATTTTGAAGAGTGACAAGATCAACCTGCAGCGTGTTCTTCTTTCTATCAGTGACATCAAGTCTTTGCTTTATGTCTTCAAGGGTTGGACCAATAGCTGCAAAACAGTGAACACCCTGTATGAATTTTAAGCACAAATACCATCTCTCTGTTGGACAGGTGGGGTGGCAGCACCAGACTGCACTCTTATACAGCTCCTGTAGTCACTAAACATTGAATGCACTGTAAACAAGGCAAAGGATTTGCTGGACAGGAGTATTGCAAAGGTGTATAGCATACCAGAGGTAGGAAAGTCACTTTCTTGCCTTTTCGCCATTGGAAATAAGCATTACAAGATGTCCCCTTGTAATGGAACTAGCCTATTCTGGTAAAATACGTGCTGCAGAGCTCTGCTGAACTCTGGAAATCTATGGTTCAGTGAAAGCTTCTCATGCTGGGCCAGTATTTCTACTATCCCTTTTTTTGTTGGTACCTTGCAAGGTCCTTTCAGTCTCTTGTGCTTGATTCAGGAGTGTACTGCTCTCAGTTTTTAACCTTGAAGCTTTTCCTGATAGGTCTTCTCTCTTCACAGTCTGGTAATAGAAGCACGGTACTATAAGACTGCTTTAATAATTATACTAAAATTTAAAGTGTAAAAGAAATGGCCTAATCCAGTTTAAAAAACAATTATACAAGGACAGAGATTTCACGTGAAAAAACAGCACCTTTAACAACATATCAAGATTCACAGAGTGGTGGCGGTTGGAAGAGACTCCTAGAGATCAACTAGTCCAACCCCCCTGCCAGAGCAGGATCACCTGGAGTAGATCCCACAGGAACAAGCCCAGGTGGCTTTTGAAAGTCTCCAGGGATGGAGACTCCACCCCCCCCCTGGGCAGCCTGTTCAGTGCTCTGTCACCCTCACAGGAAAGAAGGGTTTCCTCATGGTCAGGTTGAACCTTCTGGTTACCAGTGTATGGCCATTGCCCCTAGTCCTGTCACTGGACACCACTGAGAAGAGCCTGGTCCCATCTTCCTGACACCCACCCTTTAGATATTGATAAGCATTGATAAGTCCCTCCCTCAGCCTCCTCTTCTCCAAGCTAAACAGCCCCAGCTCTCTCAGTCTTTCCTCATATGGAAGGTGCTCCCGGCCCTTCATCATCTTAGTGGCCCTGTGCTGGACCCTCTCCAGTAGTTCCTCGTCCTTGAGCTGAGGAGCCCAGAACTGGACACAGCACTCCAGGTGAGGCCTCACCAGCTCAGAGTAGAGGGGGAGGATAACTTCCCTCGACCTGCTGGCCACCCTCTTCTTAATGCACCCCAGGATGCCATTGGCCTTCTCAGCCGTGAGGGCACACTGTTGGCTCGTGGTCATCCTGTTGTCCACTAGGACTCCAGATTAATTTAAGTATCACACAACGTTGGTCTTTAGCAAACTTCTGATAGATTTTTGAGCATTGGGAAGAAATTACTAGCATACAGCCGTTAGATACTACTCCTCTGCTGAAGAGCTGGTGGCTATTAGCAGTGCAAAATAAAAGAGAATACCTGAAATCACCTGCAATGATTACGGGGCTTGCCTTATGCAGAACTTTATCTTGCAGTGGAAGGAACAGTTAATATTTATATGGACAGCCTCATCAGAAAGGCAGTAACTAGCCTGTTTGGTGGTGAACCATGACTAATTCATGAACAAGCAGAAAGCAGATTCTTCATATAATAGCCACAAAGAAGGCATGCCAAGGCACACAGGTCTCTGATTTTGGTGCCTCTCTGACAGTTAAAAAAAAAATACATCTAGTTGTAACAAGTTCACCATCATTTGGCCACTTAGGGGTACTTACCGATAAAGCTGATTCAGCTGCATTCCCAGCTTTGTTGGCTGCTTCCTCTGCTGCTTTGATGGCATTAATAATATTGTCATAGGCAGTAGAAGCTTCCACAGCACAGCCCACTAACTCATCCTTCCTGGCACTGTTCTTTATTCTGTGAGAAAAGGGTGAAAAATGCAGCCTTCTGCAAAGACTTTGAGAAGTGTTCTGAATCCACCTGAACTCAGTATTCTCTAATTAACACCAATGCAGAAAAGGTTTTCCAGTTAGATCTGTAATTTCATTCTGCACAAATATCCAGCTTAGAGGCAGACCAATATGAAAAGATTTTTCAGAAATTGGGCTAAGTTCAGGTGGTTGGAAAAGCATGACTGCAGGCCTCCAAAGCAGTCTTTAAATGATTAAGATGATAGGGAGAATTCACCAAGGCACAAAGTCAATAAGCCACCTCCATCACAGCCCCCCAAATACACTTCAGTTCAGAGAACTGCAGCTTCCAGATAATCTCTGGCTGCTCCAGCATCCTACAAGAGTGGAAGGTAGAGCACAGGATGAAACAACTACAAGAACTCTTGTGCTTTTCCCTAAGAACCAGCGCAGCAGCTCTGGAATCAGAAACGAAAGACAAAATCTCTTGTACCCACTCCCTGTGAGCTGTGCAACTGCCCAATATTTGCTGTCTTGTGTCTGTGAGAACAGTGTCATCTTAACTGGAAAAATCACACTGAAAACTAACAAAAAATTATGATTTTTTTTTTTAAATAAGAATTTTCCAGCTGAGTTAGGTATTTAGGAATTTAAATTTGAGAGTTTCTAGTTGATGTAATGACAAAATGCAAATAATTTGCACAGGGAAAGGAAAAAAAAAAGGTTTTTACTTTTTTTCATTTTGTTTTGATGTACCATAGAAGGCCTCTAAAACCTCACTCATAATTCCAAGGTGAAGTACAAGTAAGGGAGAGAGAAACACTTGATTCATATTGAGTTTCTCATGTTTTTGCCTTTCTAGAAGATTTCTTGGAGGGTAAGAAAACCATAGGAAGTCTTTTCCTCCAATTATTTGCCGCAGTTCATTGACATCATAAAGGTATCCCTGAGTACAAGTACAGGAAATAACACTCCAAAAAGATATTCTGAACTTCTACCACTCCGAGAGGATTTTCTCTCATCAGTAAGAAGTTAACAAAGCGTTAGTGCAGTAATATAAAACTGTATTATGGGAGTGCCCATTTTTGCTGGGGAGGGAGGGAATGTGAAATCAGGAAAAATACAGGGAGACCTGCTTTGTGGGGGGAAAAAGGAAAGAAAACCTCTGTATGTCATGAAGAGAGAAAAAGAAACAGAATTTGTTTGTAACTTTGCGAATTGTCACAAAAGCAAGTGAAGTCGCAAACAGAGCACTGCAACTGTGAATGTTATGTACAAAAATTGCTCATTTACAGGAATGGTAACATACTCTTCCAGTTGTTTTGCCAGGTCTTGCAAAGATTTGGCATGCTCCTCAGCCCTCACCACCAACGGTTCTTTGCTTGCTGATAAGGAGTGATTTGTCAGCTTTTCGTTCATATCCTTCCTTGCTCCATCCAGCTGAGCAGCCAGGCTTTCATATTCCTATGGGTTTATAAAGATAAAAATTGTATTTGTATTCACACATCTTTGATTTTGACCTTGTCTCCTTCAGTGTTACATATACCCTACACCTAAGGAGACCAAGGGGAAAGACATTCCTTTCCAACATACTCTGCAGGTTACTGGAAACAACTGCTAGCCATTACGTTACGTTTCTAGGCCCGTGACGTAAAAGCTGAGTCAGATCAACGACCCTTCTGGCCAAGTATCCTGTCTCTGAGAGTGACTAAAAGCAGTTGCACCAATGCTAAAAGAAATACAAGAACAGCACGATCATTTACAATATTTCTCACAGATGGTCTCCCTAATTCAGATCTCTGTAGCTCAGCGTCTCCCTCAGACACATCACAACCTCCAAGAAGCTTCTCTGACAGAAACCTGTGCAGGCAGGCTAATCTTGCATCCAAGATGGGCTGAGATCCTTTGCTTTTTGGGAGGCTCAGATAAGCCTCGTATCCTAGCCACTGAGTTGTGCTACCCATTACAGTGACAGCAAGATATTGGGGTTTTTAACCTTAACTTAAGGAGGTTAACTATACCTCTTTGCTCTTCTGCAATAATCTGATTACGCTGTTAGCTTAGAGCGGGCAGAACTCAGGATATCCAAGATACCATTCTGTTGTACAGTTGTCTCCTCAATCCGTTTCTGAGGAAATAGGAAAGGTTGAATTACATGTGATTGGGTTAAAAATGAGAGGCAGGGAAAACCATATCTAGCTTGCAGTAGGATTTACCAAAGCTACTATCGCTGTGTAAATCAGATGCCTATAGTGTTCAGGGATTAATGCTATCCTAGTAATCAGAAGAGATACCATTCTGTTGTACAGTTGTCTCCTCAATCCGTTTCTGAGGAAATAGGAAAGGTTGAATTACATGTGATTGGGTTAAAAATGAGAGGCAGGGAAAACCATATCTAGCTTGCAGTAGGATTTACCAAAGCTACTATCGCTGTGTAAATCAGATGCCTATAGTGTTCAGGGATTAATGCTATCCTAGTAATCAGAAGAGTGAGAAAACTGGGGAGTCGGCAATAGTATAGCATACAGCTGGGCAGCAGGATACAGTAGTTCAGTTATCAGCACTCAAAGTAGTACAGGTCAGCTGAGATAAACTGCCAGGACAGGCAGTTTAAAAACTGCTCCCTAGGACTACTCTGACCTTTCTGTTCTCTCAAAAGCAGAAACAAAATTTCTGCAATAAAATAATATTATTTTACTGAAATAAAATTATTACAACATCCCTTCATCTGGGTATCTCACCAGAAAGGGGTTCTGAAACCTCCTCACCTTACCCTCTGAAAGCTCTGAGGAGAATGAAGCTCCTTGGTCTAGAGCCGCCCTGTGACAATCCACGTTGTACCTCTAGGGTAATGACACACCACAAACACAGCCAGACAAGTGGTGTTGCAGGTAAGGATGCATTAGCTCTCCTCAGCTGGGTTTCTATCCTAAAAATGTGTCAAATCCCTCTCTACCAGAGAAGTGCATCGGGAGATTTAGGACTTGTACAGATGCATCAGTCTTTTAACACAACTGTGTACACTTCCGTGGCACAGGTATTGTGCAGTCCATACACATAATGAAACAAATATTGAAAGGCACAGTTGAAAGTAGAAATTCTTTTGTTCAGGCCGTGTTAGTAAACTGGATGGACGTGAGTGTGCTAAAAGAGTGATATAGTTCAGAAAAAATAAAATAAAGAGTGGATCCTGCAGCACACCATGGTGTCTTGTACTATTTCACCAGCCCTAAAAATCAAGCACTGCTCAGGAATGACAGCTGTTTCTTGTCTCCTTTCTAGTGAGACCTCAGAAGCAGTTCTGTGGAATATTAATCCCACATAATTTAACAGTATCATACACTTTAGTAATAGCCATGAAAGATGGGAGCAAAGCCAAATACTTTAAGAAACTTCCTACAAAAAGTAAATCAGCATCAGGGATTTGATCTAGACTAGGAAACAACAAGGCCAGTGGCAGCTGAAGAGAAGGGTTAGGCAGAGACTCTCCTACCCTGCTCATGTCTTGGTCACGCTGCCCTAGTCGCATAGAGAGACCACAAGTGGGAGTAGACTATATTCATACCTGTCCATACATACAGCAAAAGATGGAAAGAGACCTTGGAAAAAGTCTAAAGAATTAGTGCTACTTGGCTTTGGAAGGTCAAGAGCAGCAATTCAAAGCACTTATCTCCTGAGGTTTAACTTTCTTCTCACAAACCCCAACGTTACCTTAACGTCTTCCAAGAGGACTCCATTATCTCTGTTTAAGTTTTCAGCCTGCTTGATTTGTCCCGTCGCCTCATTAAGAGCTTCACGAAGGTCAGTGATTTTGGATTCATATTCGTTCAATGAATCCCTCACAATTTTAATAAGCCCATTATTTTCTTGGTGGTATTTTTGTAGTTCAGCCTTAATACGTTCCAGTACTGCAGTATCAGGACCAGAAAGAAAAAAAACCAACTTTTGTTTACAAAAGAAGGGAACCAGAACAAGCTTCCTTCAAAAGGGCTTGACATTTAACATTAGAAAGCTGTGGTTGTGTGAAATACTGAGCATTCTTTGCAGCACTAATCTCAGCGCTAATTACTACAGCAGAGATGCTATTTAGCATCTCACTGGATCAACTCTGCTCACAAATTTGCTGCTGCTGCAGACACAGAGCACAGATAGACCTTTATTTGGCTATTTCTAAATTAAGTAAGGATGAAGATGATCTGCAAAGACTGAATCATTTTTCTTTTTTATATGGAACTAACACAGTTTCATCAACAATTTCATCTACAGGGTAGACACACACATTCGTGCTAGTCATTAAAGCCTCCTCTAATCAATGGCGAGATATGGGCACGTTTAATCTCAATGAAGGTAGAAACGTAAGAAAGGTCAAATGAATCACACTCTGAAGAGTGCCCATTTCACTGCCTTCAAGACAGGATACAGAAGAGTTACTCAGAGCTGGGTATCAAAGTCCAAAGTTAGGGGAAATTTCTATCACTCATAAGGTCTTTCACCTTTCTCAACTATGCCCCTGGTTTGGAGATAAGCCTCTGACTTTGCTGTTCTTGCTGTCTCTAAAGCCCGGAGTCAGGTTCCTGAATGTCCCAGTCAAATGCATGCAGAGAACGTACAAGGGAGTACAACTAGTGCAACTAGGACTTCTGAAGTTCCTTACCCTTGTTTGATCTGGCCCTTGGACTACTCCAGCAGCTTCTTGAAATCTGCTGTTACATGACAAGTGTAATTCCTCTAGAATAGCTGCATGTGCCTTAGCCTATATAATACACAGAAGCACTGCAGAAGTACATTATGATCAGTTACGTCTTTATTTTACTGAGAATCATCTAGTTAATAAGGAAGGATCTACAGGGTTTCTTCCCCAGCTCAACTCAGTTTCTTCCATAATAAACTAAAAATGCCTGTAAATCCCCTCCAGAACTACCGCCTCCCTGTTGACTAAATGACCGCTGCAGATCCCAGGGATACATTGCAAAACGCCCCTCCCTGCACTCCATCCCAAACAATAAAGCTTCAGCTTGAAGTTTGATCTTTCTAGAGAGCAAGAAGCTGAGAGAACAAGCACTTACGCAGCTGAGCTTCTGTTCTCTCCTTCTCTGCCTCTGCTTGAAGTCTGCCAAAGTTGCGGTTTCGCATCTCCGTCATCATGCGCTGAGCTTCAGCCAGTTCTTTGGCAGCGTCTCCCAAGGGCAAGTTGTTACCTTCTGCATTTGTAATAGCCATTTGTTCCACGAGCACTGAAAAGAAAGTAGTGTCAAGGTCTGAGGGAGAATGCGCTTAAGCCTATGCAAAAGGCACAAATGACAGAGCCGGTCTCTTTTCTGAAAAAGACATGCCTATTCCTGAATTCCTTAATGAAGCAGATCCATTTTGCATTAATTGTATTAAGCTGAAAAAGTATCCTCTGTCGCACAACCAGAGCTAGTAAGATGGCATTGGGCTTGAAATTTGTACCAAATGGCCAAGTTCACAGCAGTAATTTTAAGCTTCTCACTTAAAGGAGCCTCTGACAGCAACCCAGAGTCCAGTCAGACTAAAGTCAGGATAGTCAATTTGTTACTCTAAATGTCCCTGTGGTAAAGCTCCTCTGTCCTTTTTCACTACACAGGGAAGGTAGGCTCCTAAACTGACACTATGTATTAGATTTCTAATAGGAAGAGTAAATTCCACAGCTATGTCTAAATTCTGATCCATGAAGTTGTTTTCTAAGAAAACCCCTCATGCTTAATTAAGAATATTGTAAATAAACTGAAAAGTTTCCATAATACAAAATATGTTACAGAGTTAGAAACTATTTTTACCTTGTATATTGTTGACAACTATTTGTATTCGTGAAACCAAATCCTTTCCTTTCTGATGAGTTTGGCCAAAATTATTGAATAATATCTCAGCTGCTTTGTAGTTCATTTCAGCCTAGCAAGGAAAAAAGAATGATTAGATTAAAAATATCTGGGTCCAGAGGGTGGTGAGGCACTGGCACAGGTTGCCCAGAGAAGCTGTGGATGCCCTATCCCTGGAAGTGTTCAAGGCCAGGCTGGATGTGGCTTTGAGCAACCTGGTCTAGTGGAAGGTGTCCCTGCCCATGGCAGGGGGGTGGAACTAGATGGTCTTTAAGGTCCCTTCCAACCCAAACTGTTCTATGGTTCTATTTTTAAACTGATCTGGTTACTCACCTTTTCCTGAAGAGCATTTACATCGTGATTTAGGTTAACGAATTCTGCCTCCAACTCATCTGCCTTTGAACCCTGATTCTGAACAACAGAACGGTAATTGTTCAATAAGACCTGAAAAGAAAGAAATAATAAAAGCCAATAAATCACCCATACACAGGAGACAAAAAAGCAAAAATTCACTGGGTTAGATCTTTACCCAGGGTAAACATAAGCAGCATGACTGACATGAAGGCTGACCAATTGCTGCCCAAAACTTGGACTTTGTTATTTGTGAGTACAGGAACTATTACTCTACCAAAAAAAATTTTTTTTAGGATGAATTTTGGTATTGGCAGTTGGCATGTTGGGGTTTTTCAGCAATACAGAGACATCAAGTGCTGGAAAAAGACAGAGCTATAGGGAAACCTCAGAGATATAGCTTTCAAGGCGAGCAGGCCTCAAAAAGCAAGAGATACTGATTCTCTTTCACAGCATGACATGGAAACAACAGCTGTCTTCTAACAGGTGAAGCCCAGTGCTGTCAGCATCCAGTATTTGAAAAATAAAGTTGATGTATGGTTCCTTGCAAGGTGACAAGAAGATGTCACAGGTTCCTAGGTTCAGCACTTATCCGCTTAATCTGAAATCCACTTTTCTGTTTATGTGTGCCTACCTTTAAGTCCTTGATGCGTGTTTCCAGACGTCTCATCTGCTCCAACGTGTGGGTACCCGCATGGACGTTTTGCAGCTGAGATTTAATCAGCTGAAGCTCATCTCCTATCGTGCTCAAATCCTTCAGCAGCGTAATTACGCAGCTATCACAAGCTGGAGAGAGCACGGGCAAAGGAAAACAATACATATTGCTGATATTCGGTGCAGAGAGCCTTTCACTGCTTACATCAACAAATGAAATACAATGGAAATACTTTGATGCTTGTCACCTGGTGCTGCTTGAACAATAAAGGCAACAATAAAGCCCACGGTATTAAGGAGAGTGACCCAAGCCAGAAATAAGGAGAAGGCTGCCTTTACATCTGGCTAGCTGAACACCTCTTTTATCATTTTCCCAAGTGTTTGGTTGAATATTGGCTTTTAAAAGATTCATGACAAGGCACCTCCAGTCCTTTTAAATTCTGCCACCCTTAAAAGAGTCATCAGTATGCATCCAAAGCCAGCAGAAGTCAGTCGCAGTGCAGTTCTATTCTATTACCTACCATCACAATCAACATTGGGATCCACATCTTTTGGTTCGTTATTGAAACATTCTGAAATCACAAGACTGTCATTAGTAACTAAAGTTTTGTTATGAAAATACTACTATTGCATTTTTGCCCTCACTTTTCATGGTTGCCAGCCACCAGAATGCAGTGCTGCCCATTCATAAATCCATACCCACTGGAAGGACCTGAAATGCCCAGAAGGCTTGAGCACGCCAAACATTCAGCTCCCACTTATGCCGTGCTGAGATCAACACCTTTTTCATCCCTCAAAGAAAACTGACTGTAACCCCTCCACAGTGTACGCTACTTGGGCAGAGGCTGTCTAACATCAAGCGTGCTGAATGTATTGCTAGAATTTGCCTGGAATAACACCACTGGGATTGGAGCCAAGACTAGACTGCTAAAGCATTTTACCCGGGACATAGGTTCAAACTCCTTTACCTACTTTAGCATCCAAGTTCAAACCACAGATTCTGATTTCCCAAAGGATGTCTTGCCCACAAGGAACTGAGAAAGGTTTATGGCCTTCCTTCATACCTGTCACATCTTGCAAGATTAAGGGATTAGTCAAGTTTGAGAGAAATCCATGGTACATGCATAGAAGGAGGCACTATATGTAACCCAAGGCACGGAGTTTGCATCACAGATAGAGGTGGCATATAGCAAACATTACCCTCAGACTTTCCAACAAGCTAGCACAAGTGACTGCCTGCTCAGTGTGCTGTTTTGTTTGTTTTACAAACCCTGTTATAAGAAGCTTAACATTCTCTAGGTGCATGCAGGATTGTAACAGCCTGGGATCCTAACTTCTAGGAAGCAGGAAAGGAACTGGCTCCTAAAAATGCCATCATGTAAGAGAGGAATCTCCCCATCTTGATGTCCAGGTCCCTTTCACAGGCTTGGTCCTACTGCCAAACTCTCTTCTCCACTTGAAAATGAAAAGGGCTGTGCATGTCTTTCACTCTGAGGGAAAAGGATACACTCGGGATACAGGCTGCTGCTGTCAAGAGTCAACAACAGTGTGCAGCTGTGAGAGGTTACAGTGATAAAACTGGACCTGAAGTTTAACAGCAGCATGAAACAGCCTGGAAAAAACTGCCTGGCTGTGCCATTTCCTATGGCACTTGCACATTAGGTCATCAGGAAGTTAGACGGGATCGGTAGTGAGAGCTGCTGCCAAAAGGAGACAAGTCACAAAGAATATATTTGTAGGAGAACGAAGGAAATTATTCTGAAATTCAAATACCCATGCAGTTCTGCTGTTGTGTAATTCAGCTAACACCAGCCACATTTCAGCTGTCGCTGTGAAGTACCAATTATATAAAACTATTATTACAGCTTGTGCACAAACACCACCAGCCAAGAAATGGTGGAACGAGAAAGTCTGGCCAAGTGCCGAACATCACGCACAAGAAACCTGCTAGAACATGCTGTGCTGATGATCACAGAGGGTTTTATTCCTAATGTGGAGAAAGAGACGGCTGATCAGAATGCATCGTTGGAGACACAATGAAAACAAACTGCCTTCTTGAATTTTGCCCTACGGATTAGTTTGTCCTAGCCAACTCTTGTTTCAAAAAGAAAGGAATGACAAAACATCAAACGCTGCTTGGATCTGTTCCACACCAGGTATACATAAACCAAAGATGTATTACTTCAGTGATGAAACATGAAATGAGAACTAGCTATTGAAAAATTGCACCAGCTGCCAACAGCAGTTCACATCACTTGCCGGTCTTGTAATTTCTGTGACCAAGGAAAGATAAGGTGACCCTCGGCGGTCAGTTGAAGGCAGTATGAAGAGCAGCACAGAGAAAGCAAGAGCGTGGAAAAATTAGGACTTATTAGGTTGACACTTCATTAACATGTGAGGAAGGAAAGCTGCCTACAAGGAAAGAAAAGTGTAATTTTATTGGGGAATGAAAAAATGGGAGAATCAAGGGTTTTTTCCAGGAAAAATGCCCTTTGTGTTTTTGAACAGAAATGAGTATCCCGAGAGACTGAAGTGTATTGAGCTAAAGACAGTCTGAGGGATGTAGGCTCAGGCACTTCACTTCAAAATTATAGTAGGTAAAGCAAACATATACCAGTGGCATGATATTCTTGTAAGAGCCTACTAACAGTGCAGTAGATCTGTGACTGATACTGGGAAAATCACGGATGTCTTAGATGACAGAATGCTGTGTAGCAAGATTTATAAAACAGCCTCCTGTGTGAGGTCCTTACTTCCACTGTAATCACAGTTAACTTGCATGGCAGTGCCTGCTGCAGACTCTAAGGATGTTGCTGATCTGTCCCAGATACATTTTAAAAAGACATATCGAGACTGCTCAGTTTCATAAACCCGTAACACAGACTGGCAAGATATGACTTAACCATGCCAGAAGATTAAGCATAATGCCTTTAAAAATGAAATTGGTAGTATTTATGAAGGGAAATACATGATAAACCAGCTTACAAGGGTGAACTCAAATTACTCAGGACAGCCCTCGTATTACCATGGTGTTATGTTCTAGGAAACCCTACTTTTTCTTAAGTGATCTGAATTTCCTATAAATCTACATCTTTCCTTCGCTTCAACTGCTCTAAGTACCTTCCTTCTCTGATTCTTGAGAGAAATCACCCCTCCCTTCCATGTTCATAGGCACTCACGTACCTCCAGTCAGATGGTCACAGCTAGCCAGCTGTCCATTATTATTACAATTACATTTCTGACAGTAGTCTCCATATTTTTGTGGATTTCCAAAATATCCTGGAGCACAGCTAGATAAGGAGATAGAAATAATTTTGATTAAATATTTGAAGCTACTTTTGTGAAATATACTTTGACAAAATCCAAACAAACCACCCCCCCCCCAAAAAAAAAAAAACCAAACCCACACAGTTATTCTCCCAAAATAAACTTTGAAGAACTTTTGATTTCATGTCTTGACTTAGACAAAAAGGGTGTATTTTTGGTTTACAGGATCTTCTGCACTATGCTAAAAATATCTTTCCAAGTACTGCAGAATTTTTTTCTAAAAATAAAGGAACTCCCACAATGCTCGTATAGGAATAATTCACTTAATCTAAAAAAATGCAAGGCATAAAGCTACATGCATACACAGAGAGTTTGACACGGCTGAACCCAGCAGACCACACCATTCTGGTCTGTGATCCCACCAGAAAACACATGTTATAGAGGATCATACTGCAAGCACGTGTTGAAATTTCAAACAGCAGTGGCACTGAATGACATTATCACCTTCCTGCTGGGTGACACCTCCTCTTGCCATCTGCCAGCAAAGCAGTCTGTGTGAGTGATCCCTGAATATTTTATAGGTAAAAGATATTGTCCAGACTGGCTGACTAACATTCCTAGAAGCCACTCTGTTGTAAGATCTACGGGGGTGGTAATGCATGATTAAAGGGCCATGAGGAGCAGCTGAGGTACAGCTAGAAGGGAAAATCTGTCTATAACCTGCAGTTTAGATGTCAAAGCACAATACAACATGCTACTGGAGTTACTGTCTTCAGGTGAGGCATCATGACTTATTGGCCTCAAGTTTCCAAACCAGGTAACACCACTACATTACACTTAAATTCCCCCTGGATTTGAATCTTGGTGGAATCACTTCCTCTGCCTGCCCGAAACTGCCATGCTGTTCCTCTTGTGTTTTGCCAAACTGCTGCAATCTTCAGCAAAAGAGGTGGCTTCAGAGTTGCGTTTGTATGCTCCACCTGTGGAGCACATCCGAACCACTAGGGATGAAGGGTATGGTGTTAATGTGGTTGCTGTTGGATAATTATGAACACTGAACTGCATTCAGGTACACTGGAGGAAATGGGACAATGAGTTTAATCTGAAAAGGAACAAAGTAAGTGGGAGTCATAATTATCAGAAAGAGTGCGGGATAAGGCAAGGCACAGGGCACTTAGGCAAAGCAGCTGACATATTTTTGGTAAAAACTGTTTAGTGACTAAATAGGCTGTGAAGAATTGCTTATATTTCTTCAGGAAGAGTTGGGCTTATATCTACATTTATACTACATTATATTGTAGAATTACACTGCAGCACCACACTAGAGCAGCTGTTTCTATAAACAGATACTCCCTAAGTGTGTGTATCCTAAGCGTATGCATACATCCATATATTACCCAACACAGACACTCCTCCTTTATGGTGCCTCTTAAAAACCTTGCTCTTGAGAAAGAAGTCACTCACCGTTCACAGCGAATTCCAGTATAGCCTTCTTTGCAGAGACACTGAATCTCCTCGCCATTTGCCACGCAGCCAGTTGCAAAGCTTTGGGAAGAAGCAAAAACATTATTGTGAGCGTTCAGATTAAAATGGTTTTAAATCACCAAATTACTTCTCAGATAATTTAATTGCCTCTAGATAAATTCCTGTGACTAATTCTTTGAAGTTTCGTATTTTTCCTCTAAATTCTTCCCTTAGACTAAAAAAATCGTAATTTCCTGACCTTATGGACTGAGTATAATACTTCATTACCCAAAGGAATGCCTAAAATAAACCTTAAGAGTGATGTTGTAAAATAGAACAAGTGTGGGTAGCTATTTGATCTTACTAGGCAAGAATCAATAGCCTGTGCTAGACAACATTTCCTCCTGTTTGGATAGCTTTAATTTTCTTTTTTATGGATGGAAACATTAGAGAATATTCTTACATAGCTAATATTGTTTGGGGTGCTTTTTAACCAAGGCAGAATAGAGTTGTGCACCAATTTGGGGAGCTCTAGAGTATACGTAGTTAACACAACAAATGTTTTTGTCTGCTCTTTCTAGCAGACTCATCTAGATTCAAATTTCTCTGGGAAGAAAACCATTTTTTGGCCAATGTTTGGTAAGGAGAAGGCAGAAGGTGAAGCAGTGATAGGCCATGTCTGCTATTTCCATTTTTTAACATATGAATGGTTAGATAAAGTAAGTTTGTGAATCAGAGATGTCTGCACTAAGAATTATATATAATTTGACTGGGTGGAAAATTGTCAACTCCAGTAATGCCCAGTGGGGTGCATTTCCTATGTCAGGAGTGGCATTCACCACACTAATGTGCAGCTAGGAAACAGCACAGGTTTATGGTCTTCCTAGGTATTTCGGCTCTCTTAAAGCAAAAGATGACTAGAAATATGTTCAGTCAGCCTCGGGCAAGCACCTGCAGAAGAGGCCAATGCTGTCAAAGATCTATCAGAGAGTTCTCTGATAAATGAAAAACCTGTCTATTGTCTGCTAGTGTAAATCTCTTACTTAAGGCTAATCGGTGTTTGCTAATGCACCTGGCAAATACTACGTGGTGCCTTTAGCAATTTACAGCTTGGGTTTTTTTTTAAAAACTTTTTTTTTATTTAACACATTTCACATTTTAGAGCTGACAGATGATGGCTAAACATACAATGCCTTTAAAGTACAATTTACTGCTGAATTTTAAAGGCCAGGCAACCTTATTAGAGCCAAGGAAATTTAATTTTTTTCTAGCTCAGTATGTTTCTACTTCCAACGGAGCTTCCACCTGAACAGCAACCATATTCTGTCAGAAATCTAGATACAGGCTTAAAAGCTTAAATATTTTTGTATTGCTTTGGTATCTTACTAAGTTTTCTGAATTCATATAAAAGGCTTGTTTCATTGTCGTGACTGTCTCCTAGCCAGAGTAATGGTGTTAAACGTGAGCCTATAGATAACTTATATCTTGCACTGCAGTAAACAAGAAAGACTCTGGATCTGCCTAATAATGGAAAAGACTTCTATCCTATATTTCTCACTAGGAAGGATTTACTGGCTTTGTACATAAGCCCATTACAACTGCGTGGGGCTCCCCCAGGCGATGAGCAGCATGCCTTTGTGGTTCAGGAACTGAGTGAGAATTGGAAGACTTAGCTTACAGACAAAGGCAACGCCGTGAGACAGAGCACCAAGTTACTGCTGACTAGCATGCCTCAAATGGGTCTGGTGTCCCACCACATTGGGCGATATGAGAATACAGAAAAAGATCATTATCCTCCTATGGTAGTAGTTTGGTGGGGGTTTTTTGGGGGTTTATTTTCTTTTTCCCCTTCTCTTTACCCTCTGCTTGACTACCCATGACGTTTTACTGTACCTGTTTGTATAAGGGCAAGGACACACCCGGCAGGAACCTTGAGTGGCATCTCCAAAATAACCATTTTTACAGCGCTCACATTTCTCACCAGCAGTATTATACTGACAGTTCTTAAAAAGGAAACAAGCAAGACAGTTAATAGTGCTTTATCCCTCAACATGGCTGTATTATTATTAAAAACAAATTATAGCCAATCTACTCTGAGGATATGTTCTTTCTCTTCCACATAGTCAAGTGTTTACTACCAAACTGCCTTCACTACCAGGATGGATTGATTCCAGTAATTCTCTAATTGTAGAAAGAAAAATTTGCTCATTATTGTGGAAAAGCAACAGATAAATAAGCAGCATTAAACCACATTTTTAAAGAAATTCAATCAGATGTATAGTTTGTTAAGGAAAATTCTATTAATGCACTCTCTATGTCTTCATATTTCAATTAAAATCACTATGTTTAAATGGAACTTCAGATTCCACGTTTTAACACTGAATAGAAGGCAGATACAATTTAAAAGCACGCAATTAATTGAGCCCAAGTGCATTCTTAAAAAAACCCATGGAATTAATATAAAAGGTATTTCTCTTAGTAGATTCAGCTCAGAATTGAATTTCATGTACTTTCTCAGTGTATATATAATTTGTCTTTATCTGGGGTAACTGGAATAAATATCAAAAAGCAGGCTGGGAAAACAATTAAAACTGATACAACTGAGCTACTTTTTCATGATAAAATTGTTGGTAATTGCTTCTTATTTTAGAAACATTCTTATTCCTGGTGCTATCTAATTGTCATACACATTCGGTTGGACTCGATGATCTTAAAGGTTTTTTCCAACCTATAGGATTCTGTGATTCCACATTTATACATTACGGGAAAAGGGTGAGAAAATTGCTTTTGTATGACCTAAAGCGATGCTAATTTAAAGAAAGACGTTGTTCAAATACATTTTTGAGCAGCCACAAAAATTTCAGGTGACCAACAATCAAGAGGCATTAAAGCTCCCAAGTTCTAAACCCCTTTTCTTCAGTGTGCAACAGACTGACCTAGTGTCCCACAGACCTGAGGGTACTATTAAAGTGAAAGACGGAAAAAGAAAATGGGAAATTGGCTGGAAGCAGTCACCAAGCAGACTCCACTCCCATTTCATAGGCATTGATGGTTTAGGGCTATGGTTGAAGGCCCTACTACCATGTTTTCGTAGAATCGTGGAATGGTTTAGGTTTTAAGGGACCTTAAAGATCATCTAGTTCCAAACCCTCTGCCTTTGTTTGCAACAAAGGAGAATTTTTACCTACAAATGAGAAACAGTTCTGCCTCTACCGTCTCCTTGTATGCTCCATTCTCCTCCACATTTCTTCACACCCAGACTTCCTCAACCACAGCAACAGCCCTTCCCTCAGCCTCAGCATGTAGTAACCCACAATCTGTTTTCATTTTGGTTAAAGAATTAAATTTGTGGCTCACTTGTAAAAGGTTTTGGGAAAGAACAGGAAAAGCTCCAGTTCACATATGGGCCATATAACTAGGGGAAGCTAAAGAAACATGAAGACATTATATTTGTCAAAAGGAACCCTTTTAAAATGTGGCCTCTACCAAAGCTGGTGCACATATTCCTGTAAAACTCTCATGGCAAATTCAGAAGATTTCTGAACAATTACTGTAAATTTCAATAATCCTGAGAAGTAAAAATAAATACTTCTTTTTACTCTTTCTGCAGTTTAATTTAAAAACAACTGTGTTGGTGTCACCTTGAAGCAACCTCTCGCTCTACCCAGGTTGGGGCCTAAGGACCTGAGAACATAACTCGGTGCTCCCAAGGCATGGTGGAACAAAGCCAGAGCAGCAACTCCCTCATGAGTCTTCCTTCCAAATTTCACAGGGCCAGAGACACCCCTGGAGCCACAGAATCTCCAAACCACCACGTCTTGAAAACCGTGAAAGGAAAACTCTTGGCTGACTCCAAACGCACCCAGATGCTACAAGGATGCCAGAGCAGAGTGCACCAAGGCCACAACGGAAATACCTACCTACACGGGGTTACGTGACATGAAACAACATGTCATGGGGTGAGCAAGTCTCAGAACCATGCAGGTGCTGAGGGAACCTGCCTTTCAGGAGGAAAGGCAGAGACCACGGTGACACAAAGCCCAGTTTGTGGCAGAGAGCCAGCTTTCCCCTGCAGACGACAACGGGTTCTTGCATGGTCTCTTCTCGCACCTCGTTCTCCTCCACTTTCAGCAGCGCTGCCCTGCACCCCTCTCCTTCTACCAGCACGCAGTGGGACAGTCAATGCCTGCACTGGGGATGATTGCACTGCTGCCGCAGAGGAACGACTCGGCCTGGGCGTTGCCTTGCAAAGCCTTCGCTGGGGGAGAGACGCTGACATGTGCTCCAGGTGAGGAGCAGCAAGGAGGACACCAAATGAGCAGGCTTTGCACACTGGATATGAAACTTGACAGCTCCACGTTGGGAAGCCTTGTTGTCTTCTCTGCACCACTACAGGTCTTTGCCTCACGGCTCTTCTACAGAGAGACAAACTTGCTCCTTATTAGGTGGAGGCTGATCATGGAAATACAGGCCCTCTGGGCTTTCATTTTTCACCGCATTATCCTGGATGACTTTGCTTGCCCTAAATTTTGTCCCAGGGCCAAGTGTTGATTTAGCTTGATCTACCTGAAAGTTAATCCAGCTGTGAGAAGGAGGGACAAAGAGAAACCTAAATCACATATTTCATGAGCTAAAAGTGAAATTTGCATTTTTTTGTCCTTTATAATTTTCATCTTAAGTAAAACTTCCTCATCTTTATAGCTCTGCTGCAGCGCTTTCTTGTCACGGCCTGCCTGCCTCACCAAAGCAGCAGCCTGTAAGTCGTCCCCCCAGAATGTGCCGAGTTGGTTTATAGTTTCCATTAAAGCAAGAGGGTTGGTTGAGACAAAGTCGGGGAGAATGACATAACGCCCAGGAATGCACCGCAGGCAGAACGGATGCAGCACGAACAAGGAAGAAATAACAGAGGAGACAGACCATGAAAGATGTTGGCAAGGTTCTTGTTTACACAGTAAAGAAAAATTAGCGAAAAGTTTCTAAGTGGGTATTTTTCCGAACCAACTGTTCAAAGAAGTGTCACGGATATAAGCTGGAGAAGCACAGTCAACCAAATGTCACACTTGCATCACTCCAAGGGCTGATCCACTCCCATGAGGCTGCTCTGGGTTTAATACCGTGTGCCAGGGAACAAAATCTGCCCCACTATATCTTCTGTAACAGCTGAAATATTCCAATTAATCATTTATCCCCTTTATCTCCTCTTATTTATTCGATTAGTTTTTAACCCATCTAGCTGTAAATTAAGATTACAGGAGATTTACTGATGCTGATTAAATCAGAATCTACAAATGCTATGCATGAATGTGCAAGGATTATTTTTAGTTTCTTGGAATTTAACAATACTGTACAGTTCATACTGCAGTACGGTAAATGTTTTTTTCTCCTTTTTTTCCGATTAATTTCTTGCATGTCAGTATTTACTTACAATACATTTTCCAGTACCATCTTGGCACCTATTTGAATTTCCATTGCAGTTGCAGGGGACACAGCGTCCAGTAAATAACCCTTTATTCTCACGGTAAAATCCAAGGCCACATTCCTAGACAGTAAGCAGAGAGAGGAAAAAAAAAAGTGAGTATTGGTGGAAGCAAAGTTTTACACGTTATTGGAAGGGTATTTTAAAATTGTTTGCCTTTTAGTAGTGGAGGTGTGCATTTCCTGATAAGCTCTTCTAAGCCCATATTATTGTTTAAATAATATGTACTTTAATGCCGTGAATGGCACTGAAGAATGTGCTGAATCAATTTCAGCTGAAGCATCTGAACCCTGTGCTCTACACTTCGTGGCAGTGGGAATTTCATAATTTTTACTCTAACCTCTGAGAAAAAACACATTTCCTGTGGCTATGTACAACAGCGTAGAATAAGACTTTTAAACCACAGAGAAAGATTTGAATATAAATTCATACTAGAGTCTTCTCAGAGAAGAACATACAAAAATCTCACAAATTTGCTAGCGGTTATATGAAATCTTGATATTAATTTAATCATGGTCTATTCCTTGGAAGTACTTCTAATGAGCTATCTTTTACATTAATTCATCATGACTTCCACAATAAGTCTACCTGGAGCTACACGCAGCCACGCTTCTAGAGCGAGGTGATCTTACAAAACACACTGCAGTCCAGTATCTAAGTACAGGCTTGTCCCAGAGACCTGGGAAGCATGAGAAGAATGTTCAGCTGTTGAGGGCGCAGGAGCAGAAGCACAGCCTGTCATATCACAGTCAGGTTTAAATAGGCAGCTGAACCAGAAGAAGATTATGAATGAAGCAAGAGACATGAAGTTTGTTAGCATACATCAGGAAGGTAGTAAATAATATGTTAAAATTAAGTTCTTGCTTGGCACGGGCAGGGAAAGCACAAGGGTAGGGAATGTACCAACAATTTTTCCTGAGCATGGAGACTTCCCATATACAGACCAATTTAAATATTCATGCCCACGTTCTCTGATCAGCATCCTGGCACACCGAAAACGACCAGGCCGAAGTCTGTCCCTTCTGTTCCCTACCTCCTTTTCACTTCTACCTAAAAGTTGGTGTGGTGCAAGGAAGACAAGAGGCTGTATGGAAGAAGGGAGAAAGCCGTGCTCCCCACGAAGCCAACACCTCCCAGGTTCCTGCCTCAGGCAATGTACTTCTGCACTGTGCCTATGCCTCACCTCAACCTCACAGGTAGAGGCTGGCCCCAACGACATTCGGAAAAAAACAAGTGACAGCTGAACTTTGAAGCTATCAGTCTTTTCTCATAGCAATTGCACCAAGACTGATGGGACTAATCTGAACAGCAAAGCATTTGCGGGATAGTGTCTCAGATCATGTTTCACTGGTTTGAGGTGTTAAGTACTTATGTAGGGACAGGATTAACCAGTGAATTTATCGACCATGTAACTACTGGAGAGAAAAAAAAAAAATTAATCTCTCCCAAAGCAGATCCCAAAAGGAAGACTGAGTTATTGCTGTTTAAATAACAGTTGCTAGTAGCACTTTTGCCTTCTTTACATGTGGGATAAATGAAAAGAAAAGTGCAAAATACTAATATAATCACAGCTTTTGATACTGACTTCACTGTGAGCAAGGACTGAAGGTAGAATACGCACTTGAAATTTTCCAGATACATTTTTAAAAGGGTGAACATGTTCCCTGAACAACAGGGAGCCAATATACACCACTTCTGAAGAAATCAGGACTGAAACACATTAAACAGCATGACTAATATAGGCTCTAATGCATATAAATTTTACTTACTGAAAGTCTCTTTTTGGAGAGCAAAATGAATCACTCATTTTAAAAATACATCCAAATACATTTGTAAAAAATCTATGCAGCTTTTTTTTTCCCCCCTCTATTTATGCTGTCTTTAAAAAAAAACCCACATTCGGAGTAAGTGGGCACTTTGTTTTTCAAAGCAGCATTCTTGATACTGCAAAATTGATTCCACACAAAGGTAAAGTGCTAGGTACTTTCAAGTGCTTAGGAGTTCAGGCTGACTGTTTTCAAGTAAACAACTTAAAAGCAACTTCTCACACACGCTTTTGTTAGGGAAGTGCTTTGAGATATAACAAGATTAGCCTTATTACTTTTATATTAAGTAATGTATAAGCTGTTATCAAATTAGTTCATTTAAAAAACAAAGAGAAAGAAGGAAGCAAGCAAGGAAGCGAAAATGAACAGATTACCTGTCTCAGGTAAAAATCCCTTTGAACTTGTTGCTGCTGACTCCTCTCCAGAAGGTGAGGATATGATACCCTCTGTTGCATCTCTTGTGCAAAACAATGCCCCAGGGCTACTAACGTGACAACCAGCCATCCTACATTCCTCAGCCTCCCCACCTGGGCCATCATTTTACTTTGGCTTCACTGCAAACATACGCTGCTATCCTTTTGGCGTTCTCTTATCCTCTCTCTTTTTCTCCAGCTTCTGACTCAGATTAACGAGGCTCCGTGCTGCGATGGGCCCCACCTTTAAACTTTATACATGAGTCAAGTTGTACGGCACACATTACCGTTCCTGAGGTTAACAAGTAACCCCGCAGTTCCTGTAGCTCAATATATACCTAGGTTGGGGTGTGGCGAGCATCACCTCCTCCCCACCTAAGGCAGCCAGACAGAGCTAGGTGATTAGAGGAGTAAATCACTGCCTGAGTAATGCTGTATAAACATACAGGGCTTACGAACTACCCAGGTGAGCGTCTTGGTCACTTCCTTTGGCTGTGTATTTCCCCTAGGCTATATAAAAAACTTGAGTTTAAAGGCAGTTATGTTGAAAGCAGTGGGATGGGAGGAGGAATTTCAGCCAATGCTCATCAATTTCCATGTGGCACCGAACATCAGACACGTGAAAAAGTAAGTTTCTAGAATTATTTCCAAAGTGGTATTCAACAGATGAGCAGCGGATGCACACACGAGACGATGTTGTTTTCTTCAGTCTCTCTGCAGCTGCTCTGGTCTAGGTATTATACTTTCATTCTCATTTCAAAATAATTTGCAAGGTTAGTACAGCAATTACTGCTTTACAGAAACCCTCAACCATTTTTGAGAGATTAATTCCTCCTATTTCGTGCACCGCTCATCTCTCCAGTACTTTATTCTGCTGCCTTGGGTGCTTATACACGGGAATAGACAGCCAAAATAATTATAGCTACAGGAACAGCATCAAGCACAGGATATACAACTGTGGCTAGGATTTCACCAAGTTTTCTGGTAACAGTATTACTTTGCAATATTTACATTATCTTTCATAGGAATATCTCCAAATATTTTTTTTCAAGTATTTTAACTTCAGCTTTCTAATGTTTTCCTATAAAAATAGGAAAAGAATTAGTCACACTATGAAAACAGGAAAGTATTATCTAGGTTCAGGTTACTTTCCTTCCTTGTCACGCTTTTCCCTGACAAAATAAGGAAACTTGTCCATGTGTAGGGTCTCACAGACTTTAATCAACTCAACTCAGACTTTCCATCCATTAAAGTCAGTATCGACTGAGATGATTCAGCTTCTCACAGGGCAGCACAGAAGAATCCCTCATTACAGTGCATCACACATGTAAAACAACATTCACAATTCTGCAAAAGCAACCATGAGTTGAATAACCTTACACCGCTTCTTCAACAGTGAAAGTATTTGAGCCGTTGAAAGTGCACATGCTTGCAAGAAGCACGCTTAATTACTTCACTAACTAGCTTGTTCCTCTAACTAAGCCATTATGTATAGCTGTAGGCAAGAGAGAAGACAATGGTACCGTATGGAGGCAAACGCTTCCTACCTGACATGAGTCACCCACGTACTCCGGAGGGCAGGAGCATGTCTCTACGCTGTGTGCAATGCTGCCGCTTCCTGTGCTGGTGGCTTCTTCCAGCCCAACCTCACCCAGTGTTAATCGCTGAGTCTCCGTGAAGTAAAGGCCTCTGATGTGCAAGCCATCTAGTCTAGACAGGATTACCATCAGTTCTTCTCTGGACACGGGGTTATTGCTGCTGGCATGCCTGAAGTTTCCCTGCACGTTAAGGGTATAAAATGAATACAGCCCACCTGCTTCTTACAAAGAGTATATGAAACAAAGATGGGATGACAGAACAAGGGAGAAAAAAATCCCCATGGAACAGACCCCTGTAGTGCCAATTGGTGTGGGGTGAAATAGAGTCAGGAAAGTAAATATAGTGAATGTAAACAGAAGATAGGTGGGAAAAGGAATAATGAGCATAAAAAAGGCATGTACTCTTTACTTCATAAGGTATATATGGCTTTCAGGTATCAAAAAGTGAAAAGTCATATAGATGGTTCTTCAGCCATCCAAATTTCTTTGAGGGATCACCCACCAAACCACAAAAGGGTGGAAGAAAATGCTTTTATTTTTATCCGTAAGCAAAGTCCCAGACATCCAGTCTTCGAGGACTGCTTTCACATGCTTTCTTGCTGCTAACAGAGAAAGCACTACTGAAAATGGAATCTGGCTTCAAGTAACATTTTTTTTGCCTACATAATAGACAAAAATAAATAGCCCAGTTTGATCTTCTGAGCACAGATGTAAAGTAGGAATAATCCCTGCTAAATTCACCTGCCTGAATGCTGGACACCTATTCTAAACTAGGTAGCTAGACATCAAGGCAAACTGGCAACAGTTCATTCCAACCCTATTAAGTACAGTCTGGGGCTGCAATGAATCATCTTCCATTGATGACTGATCCAGTATTACTCCACTGGCCCTGGAGGGAATGCTAAGCGCAAATTAGACAAAATGCCTAACTTGGAGGTACAAAAATTAGGTGGCACAAACCAGAACCTAGGTTCAATGTGGCAGTAAAGAGAGAGGAAAAAAAGTGTTGTTTATATTTAAGGTCTACAGTATTTAAGTTTATATTCATTAACATTATCAAGTGTTTGGTATTTCTGCACATATTACCTGCATGTTTTTTATGCACCCCTGGGAAGAAAAGAGAAGGCCATTCCCTTTTAATTTCTTACCTCAACTAGCTGCACACGGCCATAATATTGACGGTCAGGCAGTGGGTTGTTGGGATCCATATAAACAACTTTCATTTGTTGGCCCTATGTGAGAATGAAGATATAACATTACTGTTTTATTACTTTTTATGGTAAAGTGTTCAGATGCAACAAAATTTGGTGAAGCACAATAATCCTCTTCTTTGGGGGATAAAAACTAAGTAATACTAGGAAAACCGTATGTCATTTTGTCAGCAAAGTGGTACAGGAAGCACTGTGTTCTAGTGTCAGCAGGGTTTTCACTGCTTTTGCCTTCTAATAACTTTGCTTTCAAACAAAACACCAAGAGGATTAAATTAATGCTGACCAATTTTCACAGTAACTAGTTATTACCTTTGAGTAAAAATGATTTTGCATTTTCAAACACCCTCCTTCGCATCCCGGTGCACAAACGATTTTGGATACTACTGTACTACTTTAAAAGGCATGTTTCCCAGTAAGAGTCCTAGAATACTGAATTAGTATTTCTGAAGGTCTAAAGAAACAAAAACACCCCCTTGGGCATTTCAACCAACAGTAAAAAATTTCAATTTTGGCTCTGAAGTGGTTAAATTACAAAACTGTTAACCTAACTGTTAATGCATTTTTACTTCAATCCCTTGAAGTCTTATGATTATGCTTAATTTTATGCTGAAGAAAATTCTCATAGAAAATGAGATTAATTACACATGGAATCCAGGGCATATTTTGCAGAGTCAAGGCCATACTTGCTGACAAGTGTGCAAGGCATTAATTAATTTTTTTTCCACATCTACATATTACAGAGAAAATCCCTTTTTTATCTTTCTATTTGCTCTTGTCACTTACGCTTAATAATATGTTACTTTGGCAATAGATATGTGTGTTGATGGCTTTGAACAAAATGCAGTAAAATTACTTCTACAGAAATGTAGCAAGTTGCTATAAAAGTTAAGCACACCATAGGAGCAAAATTTCCTATATTGTCAGGTAACAAAATATCATGGTATTGGTATTACTTGAAAGAAAAATAGTAATTCAAACTTACTGTTAGTTGTACATCAGGTCTCTTACCCAGAAGAACCATGCCCTCGCTAGGTAAGCCAAAAGATTTCACCTGGTAACTTAGGAAACCACCATACGAAGAAAGCTGTAATATAATGCACAAAACCACTTTACTGTGCTATTGCTTTATATTAATATCACTTTGCATTCAAGTCTACCCCACCTTCCAGCACTTTAAATAATATATTTACTCTTTGTTCTTTAGACAAAACATGAAAATATGTGTTGCTTGGAAGAAATCACTTTCTATTTTGTTCACTTTGTGTATCTGACATCACTTTTTGAGCAGATACTGTTCTGTGAATGGTTACCTACATCGGGGTTTCGTGTTTTTTTTTCATACCTAGCATCACGCTATTCATGTCCTGGAGAAATCACATGTTTACGTGAACGTTGCACCTCCCCTGACCCTACAGAACATATTTGGCTCATCAAAGGCAGATGTCAGACTGAGAATGAAAGGGGTAGCGAACCCCAAGAACAGCCATAGATAAAAGGAAGTCCAACTATGTGTGTTTAAAGGTGGCTTTCACATGCTAGCATTTTCTAAACTGACTAAAAACATGAATTTTAGCAGGAAATCTTTGCTCCCTCTTCTGGAGGCCAGGCTGGATGAGGCTTTGAGCAACCTGGTCTAGCGGAAGGTGTCCCTGCCCATGGCAGGGGGGTTGGAACTAGATGGTCTTTAAGGTCCCTTCCAACCCGAACCATTCTGTGACGATACTATTACGATAATGATTATGACTTCTACTGACATCAGCTCTGCTGCAAACAAACCGTTGCTCTAGGCTGAGCTGAAACCACACTTCTTTTGGCTCAACTACAGGTGACCACAGGCAGCCTCAAAGCCAACCAAATACATATTCTGCTGCCCAAAACAATGACTTAGGCAAGTATGTTCTACCCCTTTCCACATACTCTTTACGAATTACAAAGAAAAGACAAACATCTCAATACTAAATTTCCTTGGATCCCAGGGCCCTAATTAATGCTATTTTCTTTAGCCAACTGCATTTTCAAAAGCATCATCTGGAACGCTGGCTATATTTTGCCAATATAATCAAAACACCCTGTATAAATATTTTTTTTCTCCAGAAATACAAGGAAATTCAAATTAGAGCTAACTTCCTGTTTAACACACATTTTAGGACTGCACCATGTGACAGGCTGTTATGTTACTGCTTTTAAGGTTTTTTTAATGGGAAATATTGGTGTTCTAAACAAGCCCCTGTATTCTGAATGCATGGTATTTATTTTGTAACATTGACTGGTCTATTAAATAGAATGTTAAAATACACAAGAGCAGAAAAAGGGGACAATGTGATCTGGCTTTCTCAATGACTGTTAGCTTCAGCACTGCTACAGATTCTACATTTGATTCCCTTTTAACTCTGTAAACAAAAGATAGAGAGAGGAAAGAAAATATACTCTAAGTATTAATGTTCCAGTGAAACTAGTTAAAAGGTTTAAGAGAATGGAAAATAGTATTTATACCCTCATCACACTGCAAAATATCTGGAGTGATCTTGTTGCATTTTCCAAAAGAGGTGCTATCACTGGAAGTAGACCAAAACCTGACATTTTCAGAATACAGTAATGTGAATAATTGGTAAATTTATGAGCTTGTAAAACTAGCAAGATAGCACTGGGGGAGGGGGAAGGAGCTTTCACGACTGCAGTATTGCCTGTGCTAAAATATACACTTAGACACAGTGTACAGTAAAAGCAGATCCAAAAATAGAACTATGTTATTTACAGCATTGCCACTGTAAATAAAAGCAAGCCATGGCATGCCTAGTTTGATACTGTGACATGCAACATAAAACTCTTAGCCCTGCTCTTAATAGCTGTGTTTAAAAAGGGTTATTGCCTGCTTCTTATTTTGTTATGGGAACAATAAAAGCTCTTTGGGATTAACACTGTAGTATATAGCTTTGTTATGAAATTTCTTTGAAAAAGAATTCACAGACATTGAAACAGGAGCCCCTAGAACATTAACATAAAGCACCTGAACTAAACGTGCTGTTCAGCTGAAAGGTATTTACCTCTGAGCATAGGAGAGCAGGCTGAAAAATACTGTTCTAGTCCTTAAAATGAGGACCAACAGGAACTTCAAAAATTGTACCGACTTCAATGCTCTTGCATCTATCCCATTTGCTTCACTTGTGTGACAGTAGGATTGCATCTGAAAAGCCTGTGTGCCCTACAACTGGCTAGCAACTATCAGCACTGTCAGAGGTGGGAACAAGGAAAACCTGGGGGCTCTGGTCCTGCAAGGCACCACTGGCAAAGTCCTCCTGGTCAGTGTAATACCCTGGCTGAAATGCTGCTGGGTGTTAACTGTGAGCAAGAGACTGTCCCCATGCATGGGTAGAAAGAGCAGCAAGCACTTCAAAGAGCACAAAGGTTAGAAAACCAGGTGTTGCTCTTCCCAAGCAACATATTGAAAGCAAGAAGGTGGGTTCTTTTGCGTGCCAGTGAGCACGTAACCACCTTTTGGAAATCTGCCCAGGAGGTGCTCTAGGGAGTCTAAAGGGTATTTCGGCACATTGGCAAGCTCTGTGTGTTCCAGGTCTCCCAGAAGTGGCTGAAGGTAGCAGTTCTCTGAACCACAGCTCCTGACCGTGCTGTTCACATAAAAGACCTCCCTGGCACCCAGCAAGATTATTAATTTCTGCATTACTGGTTATAATTTTAACACTGTACTCAAAAGTCAAATGCTGTGATTCCCAGCATATCAGAGAAGAGATACAAGAATCTCATGAGGGAAGAGACAGAAATGCACCTAAGAAAAACACGGCAGCTGTTTATCAATGATGCTGGCAAAAAAATGAATATGTATTATTAAAACAGACTAGCTAGGTGTCATTTACCTTCTCTCCCAGGTAAGATGGCGGTGCTTTCCAGTACAAACTATGCACTGAAGCAGGCAATTCTTGAACATCAGCCACTACACTATTACTGACTGGATTGAAAGTGACTGGAATGTCAATATTTTCATCCACGGCCTCTAAGCGCCAGTTTCTCATGTCCACGAACTAATAAAAATACATAAAGGAAATCAAAGCTTGTTTCATCATTTATTGAACTTTACCAGCACCAAGTAATAAGGAGAAATTTTTTAGCCTCTAATTCTCCAAGCATGAAATTCAACCTCTTCAGAGCCAGCCTAAGATCTTTGCCCAGTGGAGGTTAAAAGAACCTCAAAAGAGAGCATGAGTGGGACAGATGTGCCAAAGCTACTTGGGATGCAGGCATTTGGTTTGTCAGCTGCAAACCAAGTTCTGCCTTGACTTACATAAAGGCATAACCCTTCTGGAGGGGACTAGGAGTTGTGTACACAAACCCAATGACATAATCTGGAGGTACTTCTTTTAAGTCCATTCCAAAAATCAAACCAAGGACACTAACTTAAAATACAGAGCATGGACACATTGTGGTACATTAACTGGGTAAGGGGACACGGCAGGATATTTTGGGGATGCAGACAATGTAGCCTACTATTCTAACTCCTTAATAGCACATATTTTATGGTCATGGCTCGTTTCATGAAAGTTCACACGTTCTGTTATTTATCATTATGATGGGGGAAAGAAAGCATCACACTTAGGTATCAGAACAGTTCTGTGGTGGGTTGACCTTGGCTGGCCAGAGCAATAAAAGATAAACATAGACACATTGTCAAAAACAGTCTTTGGTGGGCAAGTAATCACCAGAGGAAATCTTCTTAAAGCAAATAGAAGTTTGCTACTGACTTCACCGAGGCCAGATTTTCATACTTTGCATGTAAACAATAAAGTGCCACAACTTGAATTGTGTCAAGTCTATGTCTAAGCCTAAAGTCCTCATCCATCATTCTAGGGCTCTGCTTTGCTCTTTTCTTTCTCTTGCATTGTTTGAGGCACTTGGTCATTCTTTTTTCAGTCTTCAGCCATCTTACCATTCACTTTGGCTACTAAAAATCTATCTTCTCCTTTTCTCATGCTTGATGTCATATCTTTTTTTATGGGGAGGGAAGAAAGACATTTTTTACAATCTCTGTGGAATGTGACACACATTTCACAGGTTCAAAATGCACCTATGATACAGGCATGTAAAATGACACGTGCTTATTGAAGGATCTTAAAGGACACCATTGACTATAATGATGAACTGGTTTCTGAAGATAAAGCAGTAGGAGGCCAGCTCAACTTCAGTCCCACTAGTGATTTGTAAATAAACACATGAAGATGGCCATTTCTGCTGAAAGGCACTTTCAGACAACCTGAGGCTTAACAAGGCTGCACTAAATCTGCACAACTGCTTGCAGAATATTTCTCATCCTCAGAAACTATTAAAACAAATTTTCAGTTTTGGAGGAAATCTGGCATTTCCTTAATGGAATAAATGCAGGTTCATGAAAGCAAAGAAAAAAACCTTTTGAATACACCTTGGTTCGACGACGATTTGTGCTGCGACAGTTGCTGGTTACCCCAAAACAAAAGCAGGAGGTGCATCCCCTGGGATTAGAAGGGTCCAGATAAAAGGATCCTGGTCGGCAAACATCACATTCTGCACCTTCAATGTTCTCCTGTTAAGGTATAGTTAAAAGAAATCTCAGTTTTCCTTTTGGTTTTGGTGAGGCCCACAAAACCTACTGCACATAAAACGAATCTTCTGAAAGAATATTTATTTAAATGCACGGAAACGTGAATGAAAATGGGTGATTATGTGGATAAACCACATTCCAGATGTAAATAAAACTGACTTCTTGGAGACTACCTTAGTTATGAGCTGTCTTTCCAGTTTAAAAAGTGAACCCCTGAGTAATAAACATTAGTCAGCGACAGCTGCTAACTTCCCTGCCAAAACCCTCCTGCTGGCTTTTCTAAATCTACGATATAAAAGGTCACTTGTGAAAGTTCACATTTATCACATTTAATTATGCAGGTCAGAACAAAAGAAGATTTCCTGGATATAATGATGTGGTAAAATGTCAACTGACTTAATATAGCTAAAAAGAGCATGAGACCTGGTTAACATCCAGAGGCTGAGATGCAGATGGGTAAAGTAGATCTGTGCAGGGCACAGACTGCTTCAGTGACTCAATGGACATGTACTTTGTAGCACTTAACACTCTGCAAAGCCTAAGACTACCTTAAAACTGACAGGTACTGAACTCCTTAAAAAACGGCATTTAACTGCTACCATGATAATCTCTGTGCATATTCTGCAAGGTGTGAGGTTTTGTACAGCTGCATTTAATTCTTCCTAAAAACTTAATGTGATAAACTCACTTCATTCACCCCATTAAATATGAAATAGTCACTGATGTGCAAATGGTGCTTGTGAATGTGGAAGTAATTCGATTCATCTGACCTTACAGATACAAATTCCTGTCTGAGGATCGCAAACATCCGTTTCTGTTCCATCCCTGTTACAGTTACACGGCACGCAGTTGGGGAAACCGTAAGTACCAGGAGCACACTGATCACACTGCCGTCCTTTTATTCCTGGTTTGCATCTTTGTCAACAAAGAAACACAGGGGAGGGAGTCAATAGGGGAGGCAGGAATGGATTGAGGAAGGGGAGATTAAACAGAAGACAGGTTAATCATTGAAGTGATGGCATGGTTAAGACACAGCTTTATGACTTCCATGGAGAAACAGAGCAGCAGGTTAGCATTGTTCTCAGATTCCAACGGTGAGATGTTTTATTTGGCTATGGACCTGATTAGGAATGGATTTGGTTTTGAAGGCTACAGATGCTTACAATGGACTCAGACTTCTGCAGCTATTCAGTGCTTGCAGTGCAGAACTACTCTCTCTCTACAGTGAAGTGTGAAACACGTATGTTGTACACACGTAAGCGGAGCTGGAAGAAGATTTATAGCTGTATGTTCTGACTGGTCACTTCTCAGGGCATTCGCCTGCTAACAAAAAGGTGGAGAATCCCAGACGTGAATAATCATGGGGACTTCAACCTGCCACTAGGCTTGGGTTAGTTTACAACTGTTCCCAAAGGATAAAATCCACTTTGCTCACAGTGAGGCTAAATGCCCTGGATTTACTTAGGTGAAGTATAGAAGATGTAAAAAACACCACCGAAGTATGAATGAGGCTTGTGATAAGAGAGAACATCTTTCAGTGGCAGCATCTACTTTGCCCTACCTTTACAATAAACTTCCACAGATTGATAAAACTAGTGAAAATGTAGGTCTGATGATTCCTCTTGCTTCTGTCTATTATGCTGGTAATGTCTGCACCTGACCAAAGGAGGGTTCAAGACAGTAAAGATCCATTGATAAAGAACGTCTGTCACCACCACCATCCACACCTTTACATTTTAGACGTGCTAAGATAATTTTTTAAGTCTCAGCAAGTTGGTGGAGTCTCCCGTGGCTCTCAGCGCCAAATTTGTGTGCACTAACACTACAACTTTAATGGAAATAAACAGTTAAATTACGCAGACGAGGTTGACCGCGCGTCACATAATATGAAAGCAATTATGCAATTCACCAAACAACGGGTAAGGTTTCTTAGAATCCGCCTGAATGCATTACCCTCCCACCCTCGCAGACAACAGGAGCTGGGTGGGGACTTTGAACTTCATGTAATGCACCCAAGGAAAGGTATTAGTCAGAATGTAGTAGTTAGCTATAGACTTCCATAAGCATTTGCCAAATGTTAAGTTTTGCTTCAGAAACGTTGTTTCCTTGATATTACCAATTGGGCAGCACCTGAAAACTACCAACATTACATACAGGCAATACAGCTTTTCATTAAAATGCAAAAAACGGGCTATTTCTGCATAAAGTATTCTCAGTTTTACTTGAGTAGAAATATCCTAATCCTTTTCTTGGAAATGTTAGGGTTTAGGTGACTGAAGTATTTATTTTATTATTTTTTGCAAAGTATTTATTTTTATTTTACATCTTTTGGGGAAAATGAGAGCAGAGACTAATGAGACAGAGAGTACTTTAACACTGAACCCCAACTTCTACATGTGAAAATCCTTGTTTTGCCCTTGGGATAAGACAATTACTCATTTCCTATGAAAAGGACAGACTTAGGAAAAAAATTTAAATTCAGGAAATAATATGAGTATTCTCCGAAAAATGCTATTCTCTGTCATATTTGCAGGATTAACGGCAGAGCAAGAAGGATATCTCTCCATGTTAGGACCCTGCAAAGACATAGCCAAACCAGTCAAACTGAATTAATCCTGTTCTTACCCAATTTACTGGCTATGAGGCAATTGCACTTACTATTTAAGGACTCGATCTCCCCAAGGAAATAATAGAAAAGTTCAACTATACTAATACTTCCAGCACCTGAATTCAAGATTACCCCCTTTGATTATGTCTGTAAGCTATATATATTTTAGTGGATATAAATAAGAATAGAAGTAAAGAATTTAATTTTATTTTAGTATGTTGAGTTACAGGAAAATAAGCATATGTCACACAGAAGTCATAATTTTCAGGGCAATTATCACCTATGGCTCCAACTGAACAATATTTTCCAAACAGACAGGCAGTACCCATCATCAGTTTCTCAAAACTCATTGCAAACTTTCAAGCTTTATAGGACTTGAAAATGCCACTGGCCTGAAACCCAGACATCAGACTGTGGAAGGTCAACTGCAAAATCTTAAGAATCTGGGAGATAATGTACATCATTTGTAATGGTGTACATGACCAGATCTCAGGAGCTCTGATCTGAGCTTCTTCATGGGATGGACAGAGATTCAGGGACTTAGCATGAGTGACATGGCATGTCACTGGCAAACAGAATGCAAGCCCAGGAATCCCAAATCCCACCATCAGTTCCCTGCACAAATTGTGTTTCCACTAAAACACTGCAGGCATCCCTAAAACAGCCAAGTCCTCACTATCGCCAAGCACAACTTAAATCCTTATTCACCATCATCAGTCTCCCACATCCCTCCAAATACCGCAGAGCAAGGGTGAAGCAAACTACTCATGCGCTGTTTACAACGCACATAACCCAAACTTACTTGCATTGCCCATTGTTTTTTCCACATTCTGGGCTTGCCACATTAACGACTCCCTTTTCTGAACAGTTGCAGCTCTCGCAGCCAGCAAGGGGGTGATAGCTGAAGTGAAGTTTCTCGCACACTTCACATTTTGGTTTCACAGTTCGTGGAGGGCAAATGCACCTACCAGTCACATCATCGCAAAGACGCTGCCCACAGTTGCACACTAGGTCAAAGCAAATGTTCCACACATTAATAACAGCTTACAATGGTCAACTCTTACCAAACCTGCACATGAAACAAGCACACACAGCCTATATGTATAAAGGACATGACTCCGCTCTCTCTTTCACTAGTTTTTAAGCTCAGATGGCCTGTTTGACTTCAACTATCACAATCATGTGAGACACAGACAAACCAAGGTCATGGAAACCAGCTATGTGACTGTAATGGTAGTTTCAAAGAGTAGCTTGATATCTTGGCTGTTTTCCATAGACTGGTTGTTTAACTTCACCACAGGCACAATTACTGGTTCCCCAAAATTCCAAGCATTAAACAACAAATAGTTTTGATGTTGAGGGCACCACTTTTACAAAGTAACATTAATAAACATAGAGAATAATATCTGGGAAAGCAGCTGAAGACTGTTGGTGTAATCTATAAATCTGTTGATGTTATTAAGAATAACATCAGAAAAAGAGGAATTAAGAATGCTGGCTCTGATTACACATGGAAAGTCTTGAGGGTAGAAGCTGGGATACAACAGTAGTAACTTAGAAATGATTTTGCTGTCAGGGCAGAAAAATCTGTTTGACTGAAAGAGTGGCAATATGGATTTTAACCAGTAAAACTGTAAGCCTGCTACACCTGATCAGACAACACAGGTGAGGCACACTACACTGTGAACTGGGTGTACTTTAAGGGATTAGGGTTACTTCTGTGTTAAAATGAAAGCTGTGCTATGCTAAATCTAAGATGGCTCAACTGGATCGAGCCTTATAAAGAAACACAAAGCTGTGGCACCTCTGCAGTAAAATCAGACGAGACATAAAAGGTCGGCTCCAGCACTGACAAGGTCTGAGCATGTACTTACACTTGCAGAATGGAAATCCATAGTAGCCGGTTTGGCATCGGCTGCACTGGCGACCGATGACATGAGGTCTGCAAATACACTGTCCTCCCAGGGGGCTGCAAGCAGGGCTGGTGGCACCTGCGCTATGGCAATTACATGGCAGGGCTCCGTTGTTGTAGAAAGCCACTAGTGACCTTACAGAGTCCTTACAGAAGGCCGATGATCCTTCTGGGCTATTTAAATTGAAATATAAATCATGTAAGTACTGGCACTTTACCACTGCTTTGCAATGGTTCAGTAAATTAGGGTCCTGTCTTTCAAACAGTTCTTTGACGTAAGGATGGCATAAGTACACATGCAAGGATATACTTTAATTAAAGTAGTGGTGAATGGCTTTGAACAAACAGGTAAGAAATTTTTTTCAAGAAAGCAGTATTAGTCATATCAGTTCAGACATGCCAAGCAAAATACCAAAGATGGAAATACCAAAGCCAGAAAGATGACATAGATTTCCCTCTTTTGTGCTATGAGCAATAAAGCTCTACCTTTACATTTCATTTACAATAGAGTCAGGTGAAAATGACTCATGGAAATTTAATGGCCCAGCATAAGCCATGAAAAGCATTTTAATGTAGGACAATGATGGGGATTTTATACACGTCTTTAATACAGAGTAAAAGTAATATTAATTCTCAGCTTGTTGTCAACGTTCAGTTTTTCAGAAAGCGGTGCTTACTCAATATAAAAACTGTTTCCTCCACATTGGCTGATAAAATCAAATGACTTGTCCACTGTCTTTTTGTCAAGAATTTTGTAACTGTAGGTCTCTGCTGGAACAACTACGACATTTTCCTTAAAACAAAACAAAAACAAGAAAGCTAAATTGTACATTTTGGAGTAAAGCACAAGACACAAGCTAAAAGTATTTATATATTTAAATGTTGCTTCATTATACTGTCTGCATTTTCTCAAACCCCGTAACATTATAAATTAAAAAAATAAGAAAATATACTTATCTTCCCCCCCCCAGCATTGTGATGCTACAAGCTGTGTACAGTAAGAACGGTGTATAGTATCTTAAAAATTTAAAATAAAACAGAAGCAGTGCACAAGAACCTAAAAATCTGAAACTCAACATGAAAAGACAAAAATCTTTCTTTCTGGCTTTCATCTTTGCATCTATCTCTAAATGGTGAAACCAAGAAAAACATGTCCAAGTACATTCAAATAATAAACGTACCAGAACCAGAGTTCTTCCATCAGGTATCATCACTGTAACAGAGACCTCAGGTTCAGAAACATAAAGCTCAATTTGGTTTGCTGCAATCACCTGATCTCGACAGCCAGAGGAATGAGGGCAGAATGAAGCATTGAAGGAACCTAGAAGAAAAAAAAGCATAATGCCAAAAAATGCTCCATGGGCCAAAATGCTGAGAAAGGAAAGAGGTTAGATCAAATCCAGCTGCTTACCCAACCACACATGTCCCGCATCCACACGCACGTGCACGAGGAACGCTGGGTGTGCTGGCTGATAAAAATGTACCACAAATACGTATCTGCCCAAGCGGGGCACTCTGCCGCTCAAGGTAATCTGGTTCTGTGGAAACAAGAACAGCTCTGGTAGCATATTTGTTTTGTGAAATACCCTTGGGGTTTGTGAGCTGTGCTCTGTGCCACCTACCCGCAGTGAAAGACTGGGGGCTTAGCATCTCTCGGCAAGCTAAAGATAACTTTAAAGAATATGGTGTTACAACTGCACGCTCCTATGTGCATCCTATCTTCTGCAATCTGAGACTACCGTGGAGTTTAGAAAGAAGCTGGGATTTTTGTTCCTCTTTCTGTATATTGTCTTGGTGACTTACTCAGTCTGCAACATTTTGATCATATCACATCATTCAGTCTTGATTTTTAAGTCTTTCATCTATTTAACTTTACTAAGAACATACTTTCTGACTTAGGAAACTGTATTCTCAAAATATGAGATACCTGTAACGGCGTCAAGGTGACTCTATTAACCTGGTCAGGAGGTAAAGGGGCACTCGGTGGGTCATACGGTATATTTCTCCACACCTCAGAAATTTTCCCATCCTTGAATGCATCCAAAACCAAAGCCGCTGGTGGAGTTTCGTACACTGACGGAATGCATGTTGCACTAAAACCAGAATTATAGGGATTACTCTTGGGACCAGGACAAACTTAAGCATCATAAAAGGAAAAGCTGTTGATTCACAAAAGTCAATACATTAGACTGCAGTACAATAATACAGTAGTAACCCCTGTCATTCTCTGGATTCTATGCAAATGATCAGAAAGTAAATAAAAACAAGAGGTATGGATTTAACTTATAAAGGGGAAAATGTACATTAACTGATTTTATTCATTCAACATTTCCACAAGCTGAACAGTTTCAATGAAAAGATTTTGCTAAGGTAGATGAAACCTAAGAGAACTAAGAGTGTTAAAAAAACCCCAATTAAATAGTTTTTAGTAAATCCAGTTAGCTACATTCACCAGAACCTGTACTAATATTGAATTCTCAGTTCTGCAAATATTTGCCTAGGTGTATCCTTTAAACATGCAAGTTTCGCCACTGAAGTCAATGGGACTACTTAAGTACTTAGAAGTTAAGTATACCTTCAAATATTTGTAGAACTGGAACAAAAATAAATAACAGTGCTCCTTGAAAGTATCCTTATTCGTTCACTGCTGTGTTTAACTATTTCTTCTTTGGTATATTTAATTCTGAAAAACTTGACTGAGAGACATATTTTCCAAGACTGCAGGAGAAAATGGTTTTTGAGGGTTTCCTGCCGGTATGTGTTCAGTTCTCTTAAGTACTCAACAGACAATGATTAATCTTTGCTGAAGACAGGCCCAGAACTGGAATGGCAAGTTATGTTTCAGGGCCAGAATTGAGATGTGTGTGCCAGGCCTGCCTGGGAAATCACATGTAGCGTCTACTTACAACACTGTTAAGCTGAGCCAAGACTCTGCATCTCACAACTTGGTGAACACTAAACATTTCAGGAAGGCAAAAATGCTGCCAGGTAATGGTCATAATAACAGAACATAAACATACAGGACACTATGTCAATATAACAAGAGATTAAAACAAAACAGCACAAAATCAAAGTAAAAGGCACAAATTTCTACATAAGCTTTGTTTCAAATGATGTTTTTCAGCCAGCTTCTTTCCCCCATTTAACTCGGAATATAAATAAGTAGGAATACAAAATACCTCTGGTGTGAGGACATGTATCTTCAGTCTTAGAGAGCTACTTTTCAGTTGTAACACTGAGCAGGAGAATGAAAGCTGCAATTCAATGCTATGCATGCTTGGAAGCCAGTACAGTCACATGCTTTTAGTCAATTTACTATCCAGATTTTTCTGCTTCCTATTTCAATTCAACCATTATATTAGCAGCTACCGTCTGGAAAACTATTAGACCCAGTCACCAATGCTTTCTGCCTCTGAAGGCCTGCAAATGACATTTACTTTTACTCCGAGGCTCTTCCCACTGCCAGATCAGTAGGAAGGAAGCCTTGGGAGTAGCATCACGAGGGACATCCTGGGGAGAGCAACAGGAACTTTAACGTGGGGCTCCCTGATTTGGAAGCTGCAGTGCTAGTTGCTCTCTGGTCCAAAGAATAAAACTGTGAAGTGGACAAGGGAATGGCTTGTCTGTGAAGTGAGGGTTTACATGCTGAGTACTTTGGTGATGCCAAGTTGAGCTAGTGGAATTTGTGCCTGAAAGAACAGTCCCATCCCTTACTTAATGACAAATTAAAGCTATTTTGGAACAGCTGAAGCAGTAACATGCAGAATGAAACTCCAGGCAGAGTTTTAAGCATTTCAGGCCACCAAAGCGGCAATGTTTCTCCACCTGGACAGCTATAGTACTGCATAGCATGTGAAAGACGTGTGTTTTCTAACTCCACAGTTCAGGTGAGCCAGGAAAAGGTCAGTATTAACAAAATCCTGGGCAAAGACTGTCTAGATTAAGAGTAACACTTCAGCTTTTTTTACAAGTAACTACTTTGCAAAAGTGGCTTACATATGGCCTGTGAGTCACTGAGGAAAACTTCACTCAAAAGAAGTAAAATGCCATTTAGTCCGCCTTGCAAGGTCCTTTTCAGAAAGCACAAGGGATAAAAACGAGCCCGTTACCTTCCATCATGTGTGCTCTTGTAAGCAGCTATGCACTGTACTTTAGGATTCACATATTCTGGAGAAAATTCTTCGGCTGAAATAATACAAACCTTGTGCTGAAAAATAAGCACAAGGCACAATTAACAATTAATATGGTAAAGAGCAGGGCCAGGCCTGAAGGAGAAGGATGGAGCCTAATTTCAGTATAGGGAGACCTGAGCCCAAAGCCGTGTTCTGTCATGGACTTCCCACATGAATTTGGATCCCGTTACCTGCCTGCACCTGAGTGCCTGTGGCGAATAGCATTTTTCTGTCCTTCTTACAGGAATGTTGGCTGTTGAGATGTTAAATAAATGAAAACTTTAGTATATGTGTGGCAATGGTAATGACGGAAGACCAGCCTGTGGGACCAGCAGCTGGCCAAAGAGCATACAGAGGTGAGAGGGAAAAGCCCTCATCTGTGGTGTTAGAAACTTCCGGACTCTGGGGGAATTCCTAGGCATTATGGAATGAAGGCACGAACACGTACTCACACAAAGTCCTTAGGAATGAATTTCAGTGACACCAGGATTTCTCCCAGTGGATTCAGAATTCATTTTAAAAGCTGGTGAGACCTCATAAGATTTTTTTTTTTTTTAAACTAAAACGCACATGAGCAAATGAAGCTGTGGTAGCTGGGTTTAGACAGCTCGTATGCACCAGTGTGAGGTAAAGTCTACCAATATATAAAGACTATCAATATATATCAATAAAGATTACCACTATACATCAACAAAGAGTATCAATATATATCAATAACATTCAGAGAATGAAAAATAGGATTTAGAAATGAAAATACAGAGATTCTTAGCATAAGAGTCTTCCAGATGTGGAAATAGAGACTAATAGTATCAATGTCTTCTGGATATGGATCTTGTTAGCAGAGCAGTTGTTGCAGGGAGCTAACAGACAATTTAAATGGTATTTGTTCACACTGAACACTGCCTCATGAAATGAAGAAAGCCTGTATCAGCTGTTAATCCTAACCGTTCTGCAAAACTACTGTATGTTTATAGCTGGGTTTCAACTCTAGATTTTAACCAACTGTGTAACTCACCCTGTGTTTCTGAAATGAAAACCAGAAACGACATAGAAGAAAATTCAGTGTCCAGAAAAACGTATTCCTAGTGTGGCCAAAAGAGGGCAGTGAAGGCTTTTTATTCTAAGTATTTAAACGTTATATGATTAATGAATGCATTTATTACCTGCAATGAATGCATTTATTGCCTGAATTTTGTAAGAGACCCAGGAAACTCCCATATGAGTATAGAGGATTCAAAAAAACCATAAATATAAGGAAAAAAATAATGACAAAATATGAAAGCTAACAGAAGATTTTTAATTTGAAGTTTACACATAGAAGAGAGAGGGGAACTGAAATAAGGCACAAGAGAGTTGGAAAAAACCTTGCCAAGAAAAGAAAATTTCTGTTTATCTTTGAGACTGATCAAGTTTCCTTCAACGTTCTCTGAGTAAATATAGAGAAACATCTTCAAGCATCTAACATAGGTCGTTTCACACATTATCATACAGTGTGCGAATGCAGGGAGACAAGTATCTCTCTTTACCCATCCAGGGAATAAGTATTACAAATGAAAAAAAAAAACCAACACACTTACCAGAAGAAAATTAATTGATGATGCCTTAAGATGGATGTTTGTATCTGCCAGGAGGTCATAGACTGCAATGCGATTCCTGTCATCGACTACAAAGCTGCGACAAAGGAAACTGAGACAGAAAGCAGGATTAAAAATGAGCCTGCTGGCATTGCCACGTTTTTTCTGCTATTGTCTACCTCAGCTGCCTAGCTTTTGGCCAGCTCACCACTGGTGCCTAGGCATGCTGCTGGGCCATAAGTGACCTTTGGCCACTGGACAAAATGCAGCACCCACAGTAGTGAGACAAAGGATACAACACCTACAAAATACTGCTTGTCCGTTGTGGGTTGACCTACCCAGAGCCCAAACCTCCAGACCTCAGCGCAGATCTCCATTTGAGCTACTTCTTTAATAGTATGTGAACAGACAGATGCATATAAACACTATTTGCAGAGTTTCCCAAGCTGTGTGATGTGGCATGTAACGTATATTCTGTCCCCGGGCCGTGCTTCTCGAGGTGCTCACATGCACCAGTTGCTGCTTTCCACTACTGCGCCGTACCATTGACGGCGTGGATCAGCAACTCTCACCCACACAATGTCAGCTGGGCAAGTCTTGATTTTAGGAAGCGATTCTGCACAATGAGATACTCCTCTAGAAAAGTGAAAAAATGAAGGTTTGCCTCTTACTGGCTACCTTTGACTGGCTGAGCACCTTTGGTAAAGACAAAACCATACTAGGAGCAAGAGTCCTGTTAAAGCCTTTGAACCTTGTTCAGGAGCATGATGCCTGCAACTTGACAAAATTAGCAACAGTTCACTTTGGCTAAAGAGAATTCATAAGACTTTAATTTATTTTCTTTCTTCTGCTCAGCTAGGCCAGCCAGCATGCTGTGGGTGAGAAGCTGTAACCACCATACAACTGCTTCTCTCTTTCTCCTCTAGGAATCAGAGAATATGGAAGTTTCACTCTTCTTCCAAGCACAGCTCAGAAATAAGGTCAACTCAGGGCTAAGGAAATTTAAGAACAGAGAAATACAGGTCCCTTATTTATAATTTGCTGGAAGCTTGCAGTGTTTGATTCTCTTAAAATGTTTTATTGGGAATAATCAAGCTCATAGAGCTGTAAGAAGGCCTGGTACGATATATTCCTGATTCTACAAGTTACTCTTAGCTGCATGTACCTCACTGTGCCATTTCTTGATTTAATTTTTTAACAGAAGAGACTTGTAGTTTCTTGTTTAGGAAAGATGACACAGCAGCATACTTGCAATGTGACTATTAGCTTCATGCAATATGGCAGCAGCAGGAGTTTGCTGCATTGCTACCTTAAAGTAGCAAGGTCTTTCTTCGTATTTTCCTGAGCAAGTTCTTAGTGTATCTTATGAACAAACAAGTATGTTCAAAATTAGCCCATAAAATGCATTTGGGGGGGAAAAAAACCCAAGCAATAAAATGGAAGCTTTCTGGCAAGTAGTTTGGGGTGCAGTGTGTTACATAACAGGCTAAAATAAGAGCTTTCCCTGACAATAACTTGACAAGGTCACTGCTCCATATAGCTCCATGTGCTCTGCATCACAAACATGCTGATGAAAATGATTTTTCTTACTGGGCAATTTCATCCTGAATATCCCTAAGCCTCCAACCTGCCAAACATTTGGCTCACAGGAAAAAGGGGATGCATGTCTGCAGTCCCCTGGCATTGGGCAGGCTCTCCCATGGGCACAAACATCTGCAGGACAACAATCCTAATTTGAGTCATAAACTGAAATGCTCAAGTGTTAAAGAGAGTCTCGCTTAGGACAGCCAAATCCTCTTGTGCAGAAACATCTGCAGTAACCTCAGTAGTCAACAAGGATAAAGAAGCATTTGGCTGAATACCTTGCCTACAGCCTAATAGTCAGAGGATGGCTACACTCAGAATTTCAGAGACCTTTATACTTCTGCTTCAGCAGATCTTAATAGAAATGGTGGGAATACTCTTGTAAAACTGGCTGCTACATATTTTGTAGCCAAAGCCCTTGGACACACTTTTAACTAAATAAAAACAGTGCAGGCATCTGCAGCCAACAGTGGTGCTCTTCCTTTGGACTCAGAGATGAATAGGTTATAAGGATTTATGAACATATATTAAAAAGTAACCCTTCGTATAGGAAAACACTTCACTGAAGCAGTAGCAATATTTAATGAGCTGATCGCACAGAGAGAATTAAAAATCTGAACAATACCCACAGAATCACATACTTGCTTTTAAATCACCCTAAAATTTGAACAATCCACATAGTAAAAGGGATCCCAGTACATAAAAAGTATAATTATAACCCAAATATTTATTCAATCATTTAGTGATTACGTCAGAAAGACTTACCTGTATTTACAACTGTATATTCTCACTCTGCCTTCAGTGTCAGGTCCAGGCCTATGTACTATCACCTCGGCAGTGTATAACTGATCCTCTTCATTGGCATATTCAAAAACCAGAACATAGCGACCAACTTGAGGAACATTTATGGTAATCTGCAAATCCACCTAGGTTAAGATTGTTGAAAAAGAAAAAAGCCATTAGATTTTTCACTTCTTTTCTTGCAAGAAGCTCCCTTTTCCTGCCCTGCGGGCCAGCTGGCCTGCATTAGTTCAGGGCCAACCCGTCCTGTCTCAGCAAAAGACATCCAGCAGAATGGAGGCAATGCTTATAAATATCACTTTGTCCACTAATAAGAGTCAATCAAGTTCAAGAAACAGCCATTGTAACAGTTGTAAAATGGCTGTAAGATAAGCCTGTGAAATGAGTATACTATTATTTTTCTTCTCCTCAGCAGAAACCAGTGAGGAAACTTCAATGATACTAAGGCATTGTTACAGTCATCTCTAAGCTATCTTTAATAGCAAATAAAAATTGACTCTTATTTGTCCACTGAAAAAAACATTTTCAGGAACATAATCCCTTCCAGAGCAGTGCAGTATATTGATTCCCTATTAAGAGTGAAAGCAAATAGCCAATGCCACTTTCTAAAGCATCAAGTTGTTCTTTTAGTTTACCTGCACAAATCAGTTAAAAAAAATATTTGATGGAAAATACTCTGAAGTAGTTACATGGAAAGTACTGTGGTTACAGAGGTTTTTCTTACAGTTAGCTATATCATTCTTTTCAAATTTAAACTGATTTTCTCAGTATTTCCTTAGGCTACAAACACTTCTTTAACACGTAAATAATTCTGCCAACACCCCTCTTGACTTCACTGCAATTATTCACACCAGTAAAGTTTTGCACAGGCAGCAGTGATGACGCACCAAGGCCTGTGGCATGTAAGTATTCTTGCTGCAACTGGTATTTTTCAAAGCAATATCCAAGCACAGAAATAGAGGGCATAATCATTTTACATGTAATTATCACCTATGTGATAAAATACCTTATTTTTACCAAACACTCTTCTGGTACAGTTTTTCATTTCACAAAGCATATGTTTCTCTTTCAATGGACCTATAGCAGTGGCATAATTTCTACTTGTTTTTTAGTAAAGCAAGTGTTTTACATAAGTATAGCTATTTAAGAAACAAACAAAAAAAAAGCATGAGGGTGACATTAGGTATACCATTTCAGCTGCCATTACACAGTACACTGAACAAGCCAGAAAGCCTAAAGCAGAGGGATTTTTATGTAATTTTACATAAGTATAGCTAGTTAAGAAACAAACAAAAAAAAACATGAGGGTGACATTAGGAATACCATTTCTGCTGCCATGACACAGTATGCTGAACAAGCCAGAAGGCCTAAAGCAGAGGGATTTTTATGTAATAAAGCACTTTTGTCAGATTGAAATGTCCATCCTTGTCACAGTTATAAATCTGCCAATACTGATTCATTTACACAGTTCTGTATAAAATGCAGAACTTAACACAGAGTCTGTTTAAGGGATCCTGAACTGTAAATTTGCAACCATCTTAGTCCAGTAGGTTTAGAGACAACAATGCAGATGGGACTGCAATTAGCAGGCAAGATCTGACCTCTCTTCCACTGATATGGGACATCGCTGGTTGATCAGGTGTTGGCTGTCGCACAGGTATTCTTCTGTATTCTCCCCCCTGTCTGAAATATGCTGCTTCTGATCCAAGGACACAGGAAAATCTGCCCAGTGGCAAATGCTGATAGAGCAAGCAGCTTACACACAAAAAACACCGAAACCAAAACAAAAGGCAGGATTATTATTGTTTTCAAGTGCAGCAGGATAACAATAAAATAATCCACGGCACTGGTTTATTCTCTAGCATAAATACTGACTGCTCTGTTGAAGCGTGTCCTGAATAGGTGCAAGGCTCTGTAACTTGTATCTGCAAGATGGATGCTTCGTAGTAATCGCTAGGTAACAGCACCATATAATCCTAAGAACAAAGAATACAAGGAATGCAAGACCATGCAGAAAATTACAAAAGGAACATCTCTAGACTTTCACAATAATGTAGCAAGGAAGAAAACCAACCACTTAAATAATTTTTACAGATAATATCTGCAAGACATGGCTTCTTTTGTTGTTGTTGCATGGGCCGGTAACATCAGCCTGTGTCTCCCTAACTCTGTTTATACCTTCACAGAGATGGGATGAGGGCAGCTGTCCTGTGAGCAGGGCAACCCTGCAGCCACTCTCCCGTCATGTGCTGTAGAAGACGGTGTTCATGAAGGAGCCTCCCCATGGCTTGGTAACGTGCAGCTGGCTGGGTGCAGTTTTCACCCGTGTGTGCAATCCACATGCACATAACTCAACTGTGCGTGACTTCACAAGGGAGATTTACGCATCCCAGGTGACTTTATAAAAATATTCCATGGAATCTATTAAGCTGTGCTTCAAATGCTGTATTTCTGCTCTGACTTGCCTCTTTAAATTAACACATTAGAGCTTATTTAGGAAAATGGTTATTGTGAGAACATGCTGGGCTAAGATCATCAATAAATTCCTTTTCAAAAGTATTGGTAAAAAACCCAGACACAGTAAGTACTGTCACTTTCAGCAAGAAATATGTTTGCAAGCTCTTTAGTAACATTTTATGTGGTATTTCATAAATTTAACAGGGCCCCAGGCTTAATGACTAAAGACACTGGCTACTTGTTAACCCTACACAAAATACATCTGAATTTCAGTGTGCTGTCTTTGTGATGTTGTCATGGCTTAACCAGCACACATGTTTAAGATTTTTCATAAATGATCCCCTCAATTCGTCTTTTTGTAGCAACTTCTCAGAACTGCTGTCAGAATTTTTTTTCAGTTTTTCAGTGAGTGAGAGTAATGATGGGAGGATAAGAACATTATGAAAATGACCTGCTAATCATGCAGCCCATCTCGTAATACTTTTCTGAAGAATCTTTGTCAAGAAATTAAGGCCTTGGTCATCTGTGGCTGAGCCAAGGTTTAAATAAAACATCTGATGTGTAAAAAGTATGAATTTCTGTGACCACTTAACGCTCAACCGATTGTGCTGTATGTTAATATTACTTTATCATTTGAAGGTTCGGATTCTGGATAGACTTAAAGTCTGTAAGCACCAGAAAAATTAGAGCAGATGAAAGTCAGAGAAGAAAAAAAAAGTAGAGGCAGAACTGTAAATTTTCCTAATGATATTCTGCTGCTGTATTCTTTTCACTAGTACTGAATTTCAATTGCTTGCAGGGTTCTTCCCAACATATCAATCCAGAGCAATACTATGATGACAACCTTCAAGCCCCTGCCTTCCTCAATTGTTTTCTTACCAAGAGGACTTCTTCTGCCATTATACTGACAGTCCACATGCCTGGAACCAGTGAGAAAGGCTCCATGGAGCTTTCTCCTGGGATTGTGACGAAAGCTGGCTCCTTGCTGGGTGGGAAGACAAACGCTTTGCTCTGAGCAGCCCCTGTCAGGAAAAAAAAAAAAAAAAATCAAGTGAAAAAATAAGGGACTGTACAAAATGTCTCTACTTGCTTAGGGCACTGGACTGATGATTTCATCCATTAAACTTAGTCTAACAGGAGCTGTTCAATGCTTTCCTGTCAATATGTATTAACAGTGCATTCAACCACATGCAGTATGGAGTGGTTGTTGCCTTTGTTTTTATTAGTCTTGAGCAAACTGGTTCAGAAAAAACAGAGCTCATCCTCTGTAATGGCCAGTTTTGCAATACTCTGCAATGCGCAATTCTTCACTTTCCCCTTCCTTTATTTTCCATTCAACCTCTCCCTGCACTGACCCACGACACGTTCAGCTGACACAACGCCTCTACTTGTGCAGCTTGCAGCCAAATATTTCAGACAGTAGAGGTTCTCAGCCACATCCAAAATGTTTAGTTACAGACAGTAACTGAAGGTAACTTTCTGGGCAGAGATGATGTACAACAGAACACAACTGCAGTATGCTTTATCAAAGAAAAGATGTGAGGATCAATTGTTATGAATATTAAAGGTTTCCTCTTTGAAGTCCCTGGACACAGACAAAAGCTGGTTCCCTGCCTCCCAGGCAGTATAAGCCAGACCTGACCACAAAATGCTGCCACTGCTAAGTGGTATCTGCCCAGTCTTCAGTTTTGTCTCTGCCAAATTCCTGAATTATGACCACATTCCACAGTATGCTGGGGTTAGGCATAATAAGAGATAATTCCGAATATAGGCTTGGTATGCCTCTACCATTCGAAGGATATGGAGTACTTATCTTTTATCAGGGCCTAAAAGGCATCACATGCTGCTGAGGTCTGTAGTCAGAGCTAACTTGGTGGATTGGATTCATCATTAAATAAATATTATTCGTGGAATGAAGGCAGAACCCACCTTCAAACTGAAATATTAAAGGCAACTAAACCAAGATAAGTGCTGTTATGCCTTCTTTAAAAGCTTCATGAAACACACAGTTCAGAGCTTCCAAGTGCAGAAGTGAAAGTCCTGAGGTTTGGCAAACATTCAAAAAACCCAAATGTTGATTGCTACTGTAAGCAGGGGTTTCATGCAAACACAGCTACGCCAATTACACAGCAAAACGTATTAGGAAAAGCACAAAAGCACTGACACTGTTAAAAGTGATGCATTTTAAGCGACATTTACAAATCTGACTTAGGTGCACCTTGAAAAGGCACCTCTGCTCTTACATTCACCTGATCTGTTGTGCCGTTGAGCTGCACCTACCTGTTTCAGGCCGAGATTGATAAGCAGATATGCGGCCAGATAACGTTTCACCTCCAGCGTTAATATATCTCAGGATAATGCGAAATAAGGAGAGGTTTGAGTTTTCCACATTCAAAGTTATCCTCACTTCGTTCTGAAAAATGGAAGTTAATAAACAAAAACAGCCATAAAGTGCTGAAGAGAGGAACAGAAGCCATGCAAGCACCATACTAAAGTCCTACAAGAAAAAACGCACATGCAGACAAGTGTATACTTGAATGGCAATGCTGATGTGTGACAGAGGAGGACAGGCAAGCCTAGTGAGAAAATTAATTCACTTACAAGTATAATTAGTGCCAAAATGTTTTCCCTCAGCAATTGAGATCTTCCCTTTAGAGTTTTTTGAGCCCAGGCTGACATAGTGGAGGACTAGGTGGAAGAGCTTAGGGGAAGTCACAGTGACAGGCACAACCACCTCTGGCTGGGAAAAATAAAAAGAAAGGGAAAAAGGAGGAAAGGAAAGTATATTATTTGTTACTAGCACCCAGAGAAAGAAAAACCATTTGGCAAAAGACAAACTCCATAACAGAAAAGGAAGGCTCCAGCAGCTTACAAAAGAATATGGAACAAAACCTCCTGTGAAATAAGACTCTTGTAGAATAAAAGCTTATCTAGAAAGACACAGAATAGCTGAACTAACGTGTGTTGATACTGCATTTTGAGACATGGGTAGTATTTTACTGTTATTTTCCCTTCCTGTGCCATAAACGAGACATATGGTATTAAGGACTGTCCATATTCCTGTCTTCCCGAGGACCAGGCCAAGGATCACTGATCCTAGTCCGAGATCACACACAATGCTCCAGAGTGTGCAGAAAGCTCAAACTGTCACCGAACCTTCTGCTACTCCACCAGATCCTGCAGTTTCCTAGAGATGTGATGCCATGCCCCACTTTGCCCTGGGACTGAACTGACACCTCTGGAGCCACGCAGTTCTCCTCAGCCCTGGTCAGGCAGCGAGCCCGCAGGAAGCTGCATTCACACAGCCCCCACCTTTTCATTTGCAGAGCAACAGAATCAGCAGAAACATGTTCAAGGGTTGGTGGTGGAGTAGGAAAAACTAGGATTGGTGCAACCTCAAGGGTTTGGCTTCCTTCTTTCCATCCTAAATCCTAAAGCTCCCCTCATAATCCGACTCCCATTTCACCCATCACAATCCCCTCGCTGTCCCTTTCCAAGATGCTTGTGGTATGGTGACGTCCCCACCACTGTGGTCCGTTCTGCATCCCCAAAGGCACACAGGTTTTCTCAGGTCCATATATTTGAGAATAGACCACAAAGTCTCATTTTCTTTTACAGCTAAAAGCTACAATAAATGCAAGATTGCCAGCTCCCTTATGCTGCTCTGAATGTAAATTCTTCACCAACATCCCTGTCGTGGTTTAACTCC